TCACAAATAATGAGATAAATAAGTCATCAGGTCGGATCAATGTTAATTTTATTAATAGAATATTTAAAAAATATCAATGTGTTATCGATGAATTTAATATTTTAAAATATATCAAGTTACGTATTTTTTAATTTTAGTCGAATGTTTCAAATAATCTTATCATAAGTTATTCGCTCATTTAAAATCTACATTGTAAATTTTTCATATTATTATTTTTTGTAGGCGGAACAATTTTTTTTCCGTTAGGAAAATAGTATAAATTGTCGCGGAATTGATTTTCTCTTATCTTCAATCTTTTTCGTAAAAAAGGAAAAAAGGAATAGTGCTTGAAAGAGAAAAACGAAAGAATACGAAAATATAAGGAGAATAAAAATGTAAAAATAAAAGTGCCTCTAAAAAGAAGTGGATTTCAAATGTGTAAAATATTGGGCGGTATTTTGGGATTAAATTTTATTTTTTTCAAAAAAGTGCAAAAAAAAATAGCAATGGAAAAAAAATTATAAAAAGTGAAAAGAAAGGGAGATGTAAAAAAAAAACAAAAAGAAAAATTGAAAGAAAGAGCGAGAACGAAAAAAAAAGGAAGGATAACAAAGAATAAAAGAGGAGTATTTTTATTATACAATATCTATTACAATGTATTTATTATACAATATTACATTAATACATTAATATTTGTAACAAGCATGTTATGAAATTTAAAAGAAAAGAAAGAAGAAAATTATCAAAATTAACATAAAAAATTTTGAATCATGCGACACGATTTGACAAAAAATGTATCACAAATTCAACAAGCTGAATTAAAAAAAACAAGAAAAATTAATAATCATTTAATTAAAAAAGAAAATTCGTAATAGTGTTTGTATAATTCGCTCTTTGCTATTGAATTAATATATTTTTCTTCGAACAACTACTCCCATGGAATAGCATCATCATCAGTCAACATATAATACTGTAATATATCGATCCTCTTCGGTATCGACAACAAGCGGAGACGCATTTTCGTTCGTTAGAAGAATGTACGAGATGAATTCGTTCGTTAATGCATCAAAAGTTTTCATTGCTCGATAATCAGCTCAAAAAGTCTACAAACAAACGAATACGAAAAGTAGTTCCGTTTCTAGTTTGGTTCAGGGAACGATCGAATATGGAAATCGCAGCCTCTGCAATGTTGGATGGCCTGAAAAACAATCGAATCAGCAAGTTGGCACTGTCGCGGTTCTTGTCGCAGAGTCTGTGAGTAAATTAACTCGACCGTTCGTCGAGCACGTAATCGATTCGACGTGGTACAAGTAACCAGGATGCTAGAAGGCATCGGCACGTAGCGCGCATAATAATTGATTGCTTGGCTTTTTTATGCTTTTATTGCGTTTCATCGTCATCTAGTTAATTAGTTTCCCAACGCATTCTCGATCCTTTTGACATATATCGCGCGCACTTGCTTATCGCAACTCCGAAATTTATTATCCACGCGCGAATCGTTCGCGTTCTCACGATAGGCACAACATAATTATATTGCTACCTGTACTAACTCTCTTCGACCTGTTTCGTCTTTTTGATCTTGCTTTTATACAAAATATTTTTCTGTAACTATTTAGTAACAATTTTACAAAGCATGCGAAATTTTAAAGGAATTTTATGAAATAAAAATCCCGATGTCATTCAATCTAGCTGAGGAAGTAATACTTGGTTCATAGAAGTAATACTTATACTATTAATTTTATTCTTCGATTTTCATTCTTCGTTTTTTTCGTTTCTGTTCTAAAAGAAACATTTTCTATTCTTTTATAATCAATATGTTTTTATAAATATGTGGTATAATTAAAAAAAATTCAAGTAGGCAATAAAGAAAAAAAAAATTGATAATGAAAATAAATTATAGAGAAAGGGCGAAGGGATGAAGAGAGGAGGTAGCAACGGAAGAAGAAAAAAAAGAAAGAAAAAAAAAGAGAAAATATAAAAGAAAGAAAGAGAAAGTAGGGAGGGAGGAAGAGGGAAGGGAGGGGGGCAGAGAGAGAGAGAGAGAGAGAGAGAGAGAGAGAGAGAGAGAGAGAGAGAGAGAGAGAGAATAGATCAAAAAGCAAAAAGAGAAATTATTTTTTTATTTACTCTTAAAATTATATTTAAAATTTATATATATCAATATTATTTAATTTATTTATCATACAAAACAATTTAGCATAATGATTCCAATTTCAATTCGAAAATACATTGATATAAAGTGATTATTTTCTAAGAAAATAAATAAAAAAATATGTATAAGTATGTACATAAATTATGTATTTATATATTTATACATATATATATATTATATTTTCGAAATTATAATTATATACATATACAATGCTTATTCCTATCTCTTTGGAAAAAAAAATTAAGATTATTAAATCATGGATTAATAATAGTTATTTGGTAATAGTTATTATTACCTATTAAAAATTTTTATTTGCATTTTCATAAATTTTAACATGTTTTAAAATAAAAAATTATATAATAAATACATGAATAATTTGTGATATCTATATTCATTATCTAGTAAAAGTTCGGTCATACCTCGGTTGCGCACGCATCTGTAACCCATTTTCATTTTTTTTATTTCTCATCTAACAACGAAGATATATACGAATAATTGAAAGAACACCGGAGTTGGCCCACTTTATTCAACGATGCTCCAGGCTTTTTCTAAACAAAAGAAGAACAAAAAACAAATTTTGATCAAACTTGTCATTTGAATGATTTGTGACTCTTTCTTGCTTATAAAAATAGATATTTTTCAATTTGTTCTATAATTTGTATGTTATATTTTTTTTTCTTTCATTTTTAATGATTTAATTGATTTTTTATATGTTTAAAAATTAAAAGATATGTTCTATAATTTATATATTGGAAAATTGTATAAAAAATCTATGTATATTATTAAATAATTGGAATATATTAAGCAATAATATAATTTATTGATGATAATTAATTCGAAATTTACGATTAAATAATGATTTTGGAAAAAATAATGAAGATAGGTTGAAAGGAGGGAGGAAAGGAAGAAGCAAAACAAGAGAAAATGAGAGAAGAAAGAAAAGAGCAAGAAAACTAAAGAAAATAAGAGAGAAAGAGAGAGAGAACCAATGAAATACCGACCAGGAAAATATATATGGTTGATAAGAATGAGAGGGTAGTAAAGCAATAGTGGTGGTGATATAATGGTAAAGATAGGATAGTAGTGGTGACAATAGTGGGAGAAGTCTGGCAATGTTAGTAATGGTGGTAGTGGTAATGGAGGGGATAGAAATGGAGGAAGGATAGTAATATGTAAGTAGAAAAGGGTAAAGATAGGATATGATAAAGTAATATAACCATGGCGGAGAGATTGACCAAGAAAAGAGGGGTAAGTCTGGGTTAAAAGAGAAGGAAGAAGTGAGAAAAGGAAAGAGAGAAAAGAAAAGAGGGGCGCAAGCGTTTGATCCCTGGTGCGTAGGAGAAATTTTCTATGGCGTCCTGAATATTCCTTTGATGAGCAGCGAGGTGGCGCCAATGTATCGAAGGCTTGAATGCATTGATGTATATATGTGACCAGGGCTTTTCCACCTAGGAGAAAAGTTTAGTCAGTGATGCGACGCGATTGCAGTTAGAAAGAGAAAAATGTGCACGTTTTTCGCATGAAAGCGAACGTGATATATTTCAATTTCTTCTTCGATTATATAACGAGAATTTCGCGTTCTTGTTTGAATTTATCGATAATTTATAATTTGCAGTGAAGAATTTACAATTTACAGTTTATGGCTTATGGCTTCAGCTTACGGCTTATGGCTTATAGTTCACGATTGTGTAGTTCACTAACTTTCGTTTCTCGATTTTAATTGTTAAATCCATTTTGTTTTTTTTCTTATATATATCGAATCTTGCGTATTATTCTTCGAATATAACATGTTTTTACTATTATATCTTTTATCAAATTTATCTCCATTTAAATTTTTTATTGTTAATTAATTGTTTATTTTCAATTGGAAATATTAAAGAACTGGTGAGTAATTAAAGAATGGCAAAGAATAAATACAAAAATATTAATATAAAAAATACACGATTTTTTTCGACGATATCGTAATATAGGTGTAATAGAAGAACGATAAGCATATACATAATATATTTAGATTAATGTCTTATCTTAAATTAATTAGATCTTAATTCGAAGTTCTTCATATATATGAATTGAATAAAAGCAAAAAAATTTTAAGATTACAGATTAATTAAAAAATTTAAATTGAAATGATTACGAATATAATTCAATATTATAATTAAAATAAATTGAATTATATAATGAATACAATTTCATTATAATTAATTATCGATCTAATCAGTTATGAATCGAATGATATTTTTTTTTCTATATCATTTTATATACAAAGTGTTAATGTATTGTGTGGGACATTTTTAGAAAATCGATTCTGATGATTAAAATAAGTTGATATTATATTACAAAAGTTGATATTATATATATGACAATATAATATATATTATACGTGTATATATATATATGATAAAAAATGTCGATTTATTTATTAAGTTAAGCTTATTTATTAAATTAGTTATTTAAATTTGCATTAGATGAAGCGACAAAGAAAAATAAAGCGGTTTCATTCTATCTTTGTCTATTTTATTTAACACAAACTTAAATTGCTTATAATTTAATAAATAAGTTTTTCTTTTTTCTTAATTTTTTTAAAGCATTTTTTACTTGATTTATTTTCTTTCTCTTTGCAATTGCTTTGCTTGCAATTACTCTCTATATTGCATTTCCATTTTTTTTCTGTCTTCTTTCTCATATAAAATTTTCAAAATAAAAAATTATTAAAATACAATATATACAAAATACTATATCTTAATAACACTTGAAGTATTTTGCATTAATAAATAAATAAGAATAGTAATAATAGTAATAAAATTCTTTTTTGAAAAATGCAGAATGTGTATAAAATATCTAATATATTTCCACAATAAAATCTTGTTACTCAAATAATATTTTATGATTGATATTTTGATTGATATTCTCTAGTTGAGAAAGTGATATTTCATCATGAGTATGTGATTAATTTATAGTAGAAGAAAAACAAAATAGTTTTAAATATTTAAATTTAGTTAATATGCGATGATAAAAAAAGAAAGATATTTTTGTATTTTCTCATAAAATTTATAGTCCGCGTGTACATCGACTGGGAACCTGTTGCTTGAATATTCTTCGGCATTGACCGAGCTATATCACGGCCAGGAACTTTTACCTTTATCATGCGCGTGCGTTTCAATCGATCGCTTCTCTTACAATTTTCTTTCCTGTCAAATGCACTTTTCGTTACTAATATTTTTGATTAAAAGGAATTTAAAAAAAAGAAGTTATGGAATATAGATAATTCGCTTTACAAAAAAAGAAAAAAGAAAATTTCAAGAAATAGAATTTTGCTATTATGACAAACATGATTATTATTATTAGTAATAAATCAATCAATAATCAGAACGCATTTAAACGACATTTTGAATAACAAGTTTCAAAGAGAATGATGACGAAAAGAGGAGACTGATATACGGAAATAATATATATAGATGAAAAAATGAATTTTGTTTTGATATTACTTGTTATTTAATCGTAACAAAAATATATACGTACTCAGTATGCGCGCGCCTTATTCATCGATTTTTGCAAACATTATTGCGTGACCTAATATATCTTCTATTAGTTTTGAAATTTTGTTCTCTATTTCTTGAATATCAATAATATCAGAAGACTTAATCTGTAACGTAGTCTTCGTATAGGAATCAATAATGTATATTTAATTTTGTTCACGTGTCGCATGATTGTCGCTGGTCACGCTGCTGCTATTCAGCAACGTTATGGTAATAATAATCAAGTTATTTCTGGACGATGATTGGTAACAAAAACAGTAACAATATAATGAATTGAGATGATAGTGGTGGTTATCTCAGTTGTTGACGATGACAGTAGTGGCGGTGATTATGACGTCGGCGATGGCGTGAACAGTGGCAGTGATATCAGCGAATGTAGCTAAGATCGATCGTATTCCCCTTCTTTCAACCCCTCCATCCACTAACCGACTAACGGGCTAACCGACCAACTGAATAACTGAATAATCGAATAAATTTCTGGGATTTTTTCGAGATACTATCGACTGTTATTATTATAGTTCTTTAACTAAATTAACTAACTAAATTTTTAAGTTTCTTAAAAACTTACACATTTTTAAATTTGTTTGATTATTGTTCTTTAATTTTTTCTATATTCGTGAACATTGGAAACTATGAGTACGCAATAATAGTAATTATTGATATAGATGAATAATAGTATTATTTCATTTGAAGTATTTTTAATCGAAAAACTTTATGCATAAATGCTAAATATACCTTAAAATGGTATCATGTCGTGATGCAAATTTTTGCAAATATAAAATATTCATAATTTCGAATTGCAAATGTTTTTATCGAATTAAATTCGATATTTATCAGAATATAAGTAATGAAACATATAACTTAAATAAAATGTTATCAATGTTATTATATTATTGTTTATATATAAATAAAATTTATATCAAAATATTAAAAATTAGATCAAATAGAATATCAAGTTTTGTAATTTGAAAAAAATATTTAATTCAAAAAATTCTATATCAAACATTTATACTCAAAAAAGAAGAAAAAAATTGAAACCTAAGGAAAAGATAAAAAATGCACATATAAATAGAAAGAGTTTTGTTTCTCGTTTTTTTTTTTTTATTCAAATAGATTATATCTAAAACTTAATAACGGGAATGTGAACGCGTCCACGCAATAATCGTGGTTAAAGACACTCGGAACAATAAAATCATGTGGGCTGCAGTCACGAGATCTTTGGAAATACTGGTTGCCTTCTTCGAATATTACACTACCAGGTAAGAAATGTGTATTAACTCGGCAACTTAAATTAGGAATAAAATTAGCATGATAATGATCCTTTCGATAAAGATTTGCAAACATAAGGCGTGATGGAGTATGTTTGTCTGAACAATGACTCGTGAAATGGGTACGTTCTCTCTATCTCTTTCTCTCTCTGTTTCTATGTCTTTAATCTGTCTTTTGTCTATCCTTCTGCTCCCTTCCTTCATTCGCTAACTTTCTTTTTATTTAATTAGGTTTTTTTCTGAAGTTCTTTTTTTTTTCTTAAATTTATTACTATTGCAAATGATATAAATCGAGTCACGTTTTAAAATAAAAACGAAAGCAAAGAATATTTGATTTATGATATCAAAAAAAATATTTGTGGTTCTATTGAATTTGAACAATTTTTTATTATGTTTTGTATTTCATTTTTTTTTCGTCGAATTTGAGATTAAGATTTAAAATTCATAAAATTCTATTTTAATTTTTTGTGTTTCATGCATCCTTTTGGGGTTACTATTGGAATCCAGAGCGCAACTGGAGTAAGTATATCAGTTAAAGAATAATAAAAAATTTTTAACTAATCTTTTCTCATATTGCTTCACTTGATTCTTCTATCTTCTCTTTCAATTCTTCTTCCTAATGGGAATATCTTATTCGCGGATGGGCGCTGCTTTATCTGCGTAAGTAATTCAATTGAAATAAAATTCCCAAATCTAAATTCCAATTTCTTCGATTTTAAGTTGTTTTTTCATTTCAAACAACAGTCTTTCGTTTTTTTTTTAAACAATAAAAAATATAAATTTTAAACGTTTTTTCTAGCAACAATTATGAAAAATTATTACTTTTATATCCGCTGTTTCCTCGAAATACTCTCTTAATTCTCTCTAATATTTTTTATCAAGATTAATTAGATAAGAAATTGAACGTTAAAAACAAAGGAACAAGAGAGAAAAAGAGAGAATGGGAAATAAATAGAAAATTAATCTCTTTTCTTTCGAAATTGATTATCAAAATATCTTTAATAATAAAATAATAAAATCGTGATATTTATTTAAAATTTTGACAATGTATATTTCAATGATTCGAAATATAATTACTTTTCTGTGTTCTTGCAAATGTTTAAATTTGAATATTTAAGTTATATATATTATCTATATATTTAGTTATATATTAGGTTATATTAAATTGTATAAGTTATATAAATTATATTAAATTATATAAGATAAACATAGCCATTGTATAATTGCGATACATATAAATATATTTACATTAAATATATTTAGAATATATCATAGTTTATATTTGTTACAATCGTCGTTCGCTTTCAACGACAAAATCGTATAATCTCACGATTGCTTCAGCTATGCCAAAATAGAAATTGTATGCATCATAAATGCTTTAGATTTCATCGTAGTTGATAAATGCACGTGAAACAAAATCGAGATGATGTAAGATAGAGAAATAATTTTTTTTCGTGAAAAACGAAAAAACGAAACTGAAACGTAAATACATATGGCATGACAATTACGGTGACATTAACAATGACAATGACGGCGATGATGACGTCACAATATCATTGTGTCATTATCAGACTATGATAATAATATTGATATTGATGATAATAATAATAATAATAATGATATTGATGGTGATAATAATAATAATGATAATGATAATAATGGTAATAATGACAACTAAAACATAAACATGGGAATGAATAACATTGTGTATACTTGGATTTTGAGATTTAAAAAGATGGTTGTCAATTGATTTTGTCGTAGAACAACCGGTAGTCCAGCGAATAAACCAGCATCATCGGCAAGTGGAAGTGGCACAGGCGGAAGTAGTGGGACAAGTGTCGGTGCGAATAACTTGACGACAAGCGGAGTAGCCACGGGAAGTAGCGGATCTGGATCTGGAGCAGGCGCCACTGTATCTGGCATTGGCACTGTGAATGCAGGGACTAGTGGTATCAGCATCGGGGCGAATGTTGGTACCGGAAATGTGGCCAGTGGAACAGTTGAATCTCGTACATCGACGATTGGAGTACAAAATAAACAATTGCAAAATGTCAAAGGAGAACATCCTTCCGTATGTATTCTTCATATTTTCTTCTTTTTTTTTTTTGCATGAATAATTTTTTCTTTATAAAAATTTATTATTAATAAAATTATTAAAATAATATTATTATTAATAAAATATTTTTTTCTTTATAAAAAATATCTTCATTATTATTTTAGAAAGCATTCCTACAAAATAGATCGATGTCTTTAGTGGACATGTACATTGATAATTCGGAGCCCAGCGAAAACGTTGGTCAAATTCATTTTAGTCTGGAATATGACTTTCAAAATACTACGCTTATCCTACGTATTATACAGGTTAATCTATATATTGATATATGCATAATGTATATTGATATTACAAGACAATTATTACATCATATAGACAAAGTTTATTCTTCGGATTTAGGGTAAAGATTTGCCAGCAAAGGACTTATCCGGAACGTCCGATCCTTACGTTCGTGTAACTCTTCTGCCGGACAAAAAACACCGACTTGAAACGAAGATAAAGAGACGCACGCTAAATCCTCGATGGAACGAAACATTTTATTTCGAAGGTAAATATCGAATTAAAATAGGTTTGATAAATTGGATTTTTTTCAGTGATTGCGTTGAAAATTATATTAAATATTATATTATATTATTGCAATTATTATTTTATCTTTTTTTTCGTTTTTTATTATTTTTTTTTATTATTTATAGGTTTTCCAATTCAAAAGTTACAAAGTCGAGTGTTACATTTACATGTATTTGATTACGATCGATTTTCAAGAGATGATTCCATTGGAGAAATGTTTCTTCCGCTATGTCAGGTAACTTCCATTATTGGATTATCGATTCTTTTTCCTTTCAAATTATTTAGAAATTATCTAATGATCATTTAATAGGTCGATTTTTCGGACAAACCTTCGTTCTGGAAAGCTTTAAAACCTCCAGCAAAAGATAAATGTGGAGAATTATTGTGTTCTTTATGTTATCATCCGAGTAATTCCGTATTGACTTTGACACTTTTGAAAGCTAGAAATTTGAAAGCAAAGGATATTAATGGGAAATCAGGTAAGGAAATCATTTCTTTATATAGCAAAGAAATAGCATGAAAGGAATATTTTTGTTATTGTTGAATCGAATAAGATATAAAAAAAACTAGGAAAGAGATTATTAAATTGATAACAACATTGGAAAAATCATATTTAACTATAAATATATGTAATACTATTAATATCTTTCACATGTTTTTTTTTTCGTTCTTTAAAAAAGTTTTTCATCATCATCAAAAGATTTTAAATTGATTGTATTGAAAAAAATAGTGAAATTTATAAAAGTGTTATTTTTTTTAAGTATTATAGTATTATTATTATAGTATAGTATTATTTTATTAAATATTATTATTTAGATCACAATATATTGTCAATTTATTTCGTCGTTAACATAAATACTGTTATTAATATAATATTCTTTTTTTTTCTTAAACCAGTCTGGATTAAACTTTTTTTTATTTTTTTACAACATTTTTAAATGTATATGTATGTTACATACACATATTGCCAATCTTCTAACTTGGATACTGATTAAATCTGTAATACATTTTTGCCAAAATTTTTAAATAATTTGAAAGAAAATTTATTTATAATAAATATTTCTCTATTACCAATATTTGATTCATTTAACTCAACAAATAAAATAGTTTCTTATTTATTAAAGATAACTTATTTAATTAATCTAGCTAATATTAACAAATATAATTTGGCTATATTAAAAGATTTTGCAATTGATCTATTGAACTTTTTTTTTGTATTATTTTACTGCATTATTTATTTTATAATATTTATTGCTTCTTATATTTTTTTTGTATTATTTTTTTGTGTTATATTTGAACTAAAAAAAGTGAAAACAAATTTTTAAGAAGAATTTTTTAATATGCAATAGATACATATTTAGTAATAAAATAAAATTTTGAAAAAAATAATTATAAAAATGATAATTATAAATGGAAAATCTAATCAACAATTATAATAAATGAAAGATACAGACAATTTATGTTATTATTCTTGAATAAATACCTGTTTGGATATGCATATGCATGAATCGCTATAAAATAAAAAGATAATCGTTTTAAGCAGACTTTTAAAGAAATTTATAATGTCTTTTCAATATATTTCCTTTTTATGTCATTTCTCTTCTACAGAACCAATAAAAACCAATAGAAACTGCGAATTAGAGAAAAACTTAACGATGAAATTTAATTTTTTCTTCGGTTTTTATATTTAGATCCGTACGTAAAAGTATGGTTACAATTTGGAGATAAGAGAATTGAAAAACGAAAAACTCCTATATTTAAATGTACTTTAAATCCAGTATTTAATGAAGCTTTCTCATTCAACGTACCATGGGAAAAAATTCGCGAATGCTCGTTAGACGTAATGGTAATGGACTTTGATAACATTGGTCGAAATGAATTGATTGGACGAATTCAACTTGCAGGTAAAATGATTTTTTTTTGAATAGTACAGTCAATTGATTAGCTCAATTATTTATACAAATTTGATATTGATTGACACTAATAATGATTAATTTATATGCATATTTATACGATTATATCAAATAATAATAATAATATTTCGTTAACTTTCAGGAAAAAACGGAAGTGGAGCAAGCGAAACAAAACATTGGCAAGATATGATTACGAAGCCACGACAAACAATCGTACAATGGCATCGATTAAAACCGGAATAAAGGTTCAAATATATCTGATATTTGTATATTATATTTAGAATATTAATCAAAAATTTTTATTTAAATCTAATCTAAATTTAATAATTTAAATTTAATTTAATTTAAATACATACTTTTTTATTTCTATTTCTTCTTTCTATTTCTTTTTTATTTTTTTTTATTTTTTTTTCTTATTTCTCGTCTCAATTTTTTTTCGAAATCTTATACTTTCAAGATCTGTTTATCGCTTCGTTTTTTATTTATAAAAATTTTTTTCATAACAAAAACTGCCAAATATATTATTATATTATTATATATATATTATTATAATTTATCAATACGAATGTAAATAACATAAAATAGATGTTTATATATTTAGTTTTTTAGATTCAATTTTGTTTCAGATCCCAATAAAATCCAAAATGTCAAAAATTTAAAAGTAGATCGATGGTTGCTATTTTATTTAATTCTTCTTATTCGATTGATTGTAATGCAGAATGAAAAAAGGAAAAGATTGAAGTTCTACAAGAGAGATTTCCCCATTTTCAAGAATATATGATGAGCATATAAAACATTATTCTTAGCGAGAGGAACTTCTCTCGTGTTACAGTTAAATTATTCTCTTCAATATCGGTACTTCTCGTTGGTTATTTATTTATTTTTCTTTCTTATTATGTACAACAACGATTCTAGAATGAATATATCGAATTCATTATCTTTGCGTATAAATTCGTTCTCACATGATTCAACTTTGACTCATGCATCGCAATGTTTTCATATACATATAATATACATATATAGAGGAACCGACAAGACGCTCGAAAGCGTAATCAATTAATATTACTTTTAAATTTTTATTGACATTTAACATTGAATGTTATTTTTATGACTGTTTTGCACGAGTAAATACGTATAGAGTACGTAATACTGTTGCTTCGAAATCCGTGATGCGTCAAGCGTCCTCAACTCTATTTATATCCGGTGTCTTTCGATTATGGTATTATGACTGGTCTAGAAAAAAATTTAACGATAAAAAATTTAATGAATTTTCTATAATTGTCTTTTAATAATGTTGCATTTAATGAAGATTACTAATAGATATTATTTTTCTAATTGAATGTTAGATGTGATGATTTTTTATCTTTATTCATATTACTTGTATTTTTTTCGTTTATCATATATCCATTCAGGATCAAATCAATCATTTCTTTTTTTTTTCTTTATTTATTTTATGATATATCATTGATCATTGCATAGAAATACAATCGGAGCAAGACACCGGAATATAATGTTGAATTTTCATAAGTAGAATCCATAAAACAGCGATATTTTTGACGGAATTTTTGTATCGACTTAGTCGGAAATCTTTTGAAAGCGATGAAAATTGTGATCGGTGTTACACCTTGAATTAATCTTAAGCGTTAAATTCGATAGTTTGCTGTTGTTAACGATAACACGTAGAAAGATCCTTGAGATCAAATTCAGATGGCGATTTTGCATACATTATAAGTATGTTGCGCTCGTGTACGTGTATATGTACGTTTGCATATACGTGTGGTATTTGTGTGCCGAAATGCGAATATTCTTGTATATGTGTCGAATGTGCAGTGCGTCGTGAAAGAAACAACGATAATTCTAATTATTCACAAACTGAAAAGCGTTACGTAGCTACGTTTAGCGTAGCGCTTTTAGGTTAGATGCGTAGACTGAAAGTGTAAAAATCGATATTGCAGCAAAGATATATATTCTGAGCAGCATAATCGATGACTGATCGAATATTTTTACATTATGTGATTTTACAAATTAACAAATTACTAATGTATAATAATTGAGCGTATAAAAAGCGTGCCGCTTTTTAGTCAAGCTACGTATCACGCTAGCGAGATCGAGCGACGAATTTTTACACGAGAATCAATCGATTTTTTTCGTGTTATGTTAAATTCGTCTAAATCCATCACATGAACATATATTGTATTTCCATGTTGATGGTATGGCATTAAATACAATGCATGAGACGACGCACGCACGCATGCACGTATATACTTATGTCCATATACGTACGCATCATATATATATATATATATATATATATATATATATATATACACGAGCACTGTTGCATATAAAATTAAAAAAAATTTGCACAAATACGCATATGTGTGTACACCTAATTATCAGGTAGCACAAAAAATCAATTAGACTAACATTTGTATATCGTAGATTGTATATTATACTGTTGCATAACAGTTGAAATGCAAAAACAAAAAAATATTACGATTTGGCATAAATCTGTTAGAAAAAAATAAATTCCCCCCTCCTTCAAAAGAAAAAAACATGTTGAAACATTCTTATTCAATTGAAATCGAAAACCGAGCGAGTGTGTATGTATCTGATAAATGCCATGTGTAAAATTCATAGTGTTTAGCTCTTAAATAAATACATTCATTGTGCATTTATAAACATATAAGTACATACATATGTTCGATCGTCGCTCGATCGTGTTTAGTCAACTATTGTAATGTAAACGCGTTCTTGAGTGATTATATATGATTATACGCGATTATTTAGAAAATTAGTCCAGTTAATTGGAGAAAAAGTGCCAAAAGTAAACGCGAATGGCGGATTGAACATGTTTTTCGGCTCCTGGATGTTTTTTTTCCCTTTTTCTTTTTTTTAGATTTTTTTTAGTTTTTTTCTTTTTTAGTTTTTTATAGTTGCTTCGTTTAATAATTGTTTAAATTGCGATAAGATAGAAAAAGTTTTCGCACGATTCGTTCAACAATAATGATCAGTCATATAGTTCCAATTGAACTATAATGCATATAATATTATTGCAACTGCATATCTTTTTTTATTTTTCAAATTAACAATGAAAATAGATATATAATGATAAAATATAATCATTCTATATCGGGATTAATCTGTCTGACACCAAAGATTTATTGTTCAAACAATCTATTGCGAAATTTCTTATTTCTTTTTCTCACCTTTCTACTTCTTCCTCTTCTTCCCGTGTTTCTTCCTCTTCCTCTTTTTTCCCTTTTTTTCTACTTCTCTTGTTTTCGCTTTCCTCTGTTTTTTTTTTAGATGGAATACATGTTAATTCCAAAATCTATATTTTAAATTCAATCAACAAATGTATTATATATTGTATATTACATAGTGTACAAATTAATTCGAATTGGATGCGAATTGGGCCTTATACTATGGATTACCTCAATCGTAAGCAACTTGCCAGTCAAGTTCTAGTGCGACTACAATAAAACAAACGTTAATAAGATTTTAAACCGATTTCATAAAAACAATTCATTCTTCAATGTTTAACAAATATAACAAATCAAACCTGAAATTGAAATTAGATGTTCATTTTGCATTATTGTTATGTTTATGCATGACACGATTTGTCATTATCTGATAGTAAATTGAGAATAAGAATGGCATTATTCGATCAAGAATGAATCAAAACATGGAATCAAATTGATACGATATTAGAACACCGCGTAAAACGCGATTACTGCCTTTTCTTAGATTTTCGATCTTTCGTTCGACCAAATTATTAAAAAAAGAATGGAATTTTCTATTCTTCCTTTTGTTACTTCATAATCATTTTTTTCAATATTCATTCGAATGATTGTGTGAAAAAAACTTATTGATTTTTCTTTCAGATTTAGTATTTATTATATATATGCATATGTTTCAACTTTCAAATTGACAAATTCTAATTATATGTATAAGTTATTTGATTAATATATGAATTAGCTTTTGTTTAAAGTTCTAAATGGAAAAAAAAAGAGTTGAAAAATAAGGAAAAGGTGAGAAGCTTGATTTCATTTAAATAAAACAATTTGAAAAATTGTTATTAGAGAAGAGAATATTTAGAAACATAAATGTTAGATAGAAAACATAGTAAATATAAAATGATACATGATCTTTGATCATATTTTATCTCTTCGAAACAGAAGAGGAAATTTTTGTGACAATGTATTATTTGATATGCTGTGCGTTAGAATATACAGTGAAAATATATGCGTAGAAATGATAGATAAAATGAACAGAATTCTATTGATCAAGTCAAAGAAGTAAGCACAAATATAAGAATATAAAAGGAAAAAAAAAGAAGAGAAAAGAAGGTAAAACAAAAGCGAACAAATGATAGAGAGAAATTTCACGATCGATTATGTCCTATCCTTGTAAATACATGATATATTTTTTACTTCTTTTGCTTGTTATATATACACAGAATTGTTCTATTAAGAAAAAAATTAAGAAGAAAAATGGAAAAAGAAGGAAGATGAATAGAGCAAAATATTAAAAAAAAATTTTTTTTAATAAATACTATGTATTTACAAATGATAGAAAACGAAAGGAGGGGGGAAAAAGAAGAGGGGAGGGGAGGATATATAACAAACGAAAAAAGAAACGAACTCCGTTCGAAATATAATTGCAGTTTTGCGATGATGCATATCATTCATTGTCGAAAATCGCATAAACAAATCCGCGTAGCTAGATTTGCTTAGTTAAATATCTGCTTAACAAGATATTTGCATTAATCAAATTCTTGTAGCTAAGTTCGTGAAATACTATTTTGATCATATTTTTTGATTTAATGCAGATTTAATGCACTATCATTTACTTGTTGTTGTATTGCTTATTTATATTATATTTTATTGATCAAATCTCATAAATCCTTAATGAATATGTTATTTGCTTCATATCTCATTCTTTCATCTCGAATCTAATAACCGACTCAGTCTTATCTACGTATCTATTTTATTCTGTTATTTTATTCTTCCAACCCAAGAATAAAATACATCCATTAACTTTCTAGCCATAAATTCGATATCGCTATGTGTTTCCTTCGAAATATTGTTTTATAAATATTAATATCGTTGATAAATTGATCGAACGGAGATATTTATTTCCTGAATATTGCTTTATGCTCGACATACGTTGTATATCCGAATAAAGAGAATTTCGTTTGAGAAACGAATTTTTTATTAAATTTTATTTCCCTTTTATTTTTTATGAAACATTTATATAGTATTCATTTTGACAAATGATATTTGATCGGATTAAGAAGACATGCTGATTACATTGGTACGTTCAAGAAGCTGAGTGACTGTTGATGCTAATTTATATGTAATCTGTTTCGTTAACAATCGAGTCTTGATTCCGGCAGTATGTAATGCCAGTTGATAGAGATCGGCATAGTACTATACATAAAAAAAAAAAGACAAAAGATAAGTATAAGATAAAAGAATTCATTTATTGAAACAAATTGGAATTGCAGGAATTGTATGATAGTGGGATTAAAAGCTTATGTCTCAAAAGTTATAATTCGTCAATGAGATATTAACAAAAATATTTAATTTTGTTGTGTATTATATTTAATATAAAGAAATTAGTGATGAATATATGGTAGATATACAAATGCTTAGTGCAGGTGTTGGATAAAAGATAAAGATAATCCTACAAGAGACAAGCCGACATCACTAAAAAAACAGATTTTAAGTAATAGATTGATTATTAACAATTATGATCTTGAATTATTGCAATATCAGAAATCTCATTTTTTTATTCTTTGTTGTTAGAAGAGAGATAAATTGTATTTACTATTATCANAAAACATTTTATAAGCGTTATTATATTTAAAGATATTATATTGAAATAAGTAATAATATATAATAATACATAATATTTTATACAATAGTTATTTTAATATATAATATATAATCGATAATATCGATTCGATATTATAAATATTAGATAACAATAGATTATAACAATGGATCGGTATTATTCGTCATTTAAAAATAGAATTTTTTAAATACGTTTCGCTGCTGCATCTTGTAATTGGACCATTTATACTCTATTCGTCATAATTGAATGTATATAAGCAATGCTCGTTTGGAAAATTCTATTTCTATATCTTTCAATTGGTGATTCGTAAGTCATATGTGACTCCTCTATTTATTCTTCCTTCCCTCCCCCCCCCTCCTGGAAATACTAAGAATGTGGAAAAAAAGCAAAGATTAGAATATTAGAGAATCGGCGTAGTAATAGGAGTAAAGAAGCAAGAGGAAAAAGTTGCTCACACTTGAACTTGAAATCATCAAAAGAAAAAAAAGAAAAGACAATGATATTAAAATCAAATGATAAATTAAACTTGAAAAAACAAATATCTAGAATTATTTGAATTGTTATCTGTTATTATTTTTAAATTTCAGTATAATATACTATACAATGTATATAAATATTGTGTAACTATGTAATGTATTTAAAAAAAAATTATTTTTAATTAATTATGCAAATTGAAATCTATATAAAAAAAACTATAATCCATAAGGAATTAGATTTTTAATGATTTAATGACTTATTATTTTGGACAATTTTTATATTTATTTTGGATATATTTTATATTTTGGATATCATCCATTGCAATGTGTTTATAGAAATAATAGATGAGTAGTCACATCGTATTACCAATAGCATATATAAACAAAATTCAATCATATCAAAAATTTTTTTTACTAATATCTTGGAAATAAAGACTCGAAAGACTCATAAAGACTCGAAGCTAAAATTCTATATTTTTCTTTTCCCTTTTTTTTCTGCCTCAAAATTTGCTTTTTCGGTCAAGAAATGCATACCGCATTTTATTCAAACTAAATTATACAATAATCGAAATAATTTTATTCGAAAAAAATTAATGAATAAAAATAATTAATAAATAAAATTAATGAATAAAATATTGCAGTAGTAAGTTGAAAAGAAGAAAAGTATAATATTTATACTTTTTAATAGATATTTAATAGATATTTAATAGATATTTAATAGATTTTTAATAGATATAAGATGTGATAGTAATGTAATGTAATTAAAATGTAGATATTAAATTTCAACTATTATTTCTTTCTGTTTAGTGATTTCATATCAAAATAAGATATTATTTTAAATATGTAAATAAGAGATAAAGTTTTTCAATTGATGCACTTATGAAAATCAATTTAATTCAAGTATTATTAGTGATTTTTTTATATGAGAATAATTTAAAAAAGCAAATTTGTATTAAAAAAATATCTTCATAATCTGAAATCTTATAAAAAAATTCAATGATTAAATAAAAAATGCAACGATTTATCTATGGATTTAAATAAAATGTTGTTTATATAAATTGTTTTATTAATATTCTGAAATTTAAAACTTATTCAAGATAAGTGTTTATTAAATAAGTTACATAATTTTATATAAATATATATATAAAATTATAGACACTATTAATCTTTATATCAATTTTCATAATGAATAATTTGCGTTGAAGAAATATTTATTATATTCTTTATCATATATCTGTATTTGTAAATTTTTTAATATCTTTAATGCATTCAACTATCTTTTATTTTTTCTAGTTTTTACAATATTATTACAATATTATTATTATATTAACGATTTTATTTTTATCGATGGATAATCAAATTACTTTTTGAATTATTTAGATTAGATCTTATATTTTCAATGTATTCAAATTTTTTAAAAGATATTTTACAATTGAATTTCTTATTGATTATTGAATTAAACTTATTTAGATTCATCAAAATGTTGTTAACGATAGTTTTTCTATAGTTTGCAGTAGTATTTTAGCTTTAAGTGATGTTCTTTTTAATCTCTAATTCATTTTTGATTCTATTACTATATAATTGTTTTTTAAAATTTGAAAAAAGTTTTTGTATTGTTTTGAATTGAGTTTGTGTTTTAAAAATGAAAAAAAAATCAATACTTATGTTTTTTCATTTATGATTTTGCATTTTTCTACTATTGCTATTGTTATTTGCGTATGTAATAATCATATATCATATGTATATCATATATATTGTATAGATATTTTATGTAATATTTAATGCTATTTTTAATAATAATGGTTCTTCATATCCTAATGGATGTTTTGTATCATATATACTATAATGAGATTTTAAAAATGAATTTCCGAAATTACCATCAATATTTTGTTTAAATTACCATCAAAATAAATAAAAAATCATGTAAATAAATATTTTTCTTTTTACTATATAATATAATTTTATATTATAACAATAATAATAACATTATAATAATATAAATTTTTCTGTTATTATTATTATTCTTATTATTCCATATTACTTTGATTAAGCAATTTATTATTTATTATGATTGATAATGTAAATAATTCTATCATAAAAATTATTTATTATTTATCATAAATTTTACATTTTTTATGGATTAAATTAATAATAATTTTAATTCTGTAGATTTCCGAAATGATTAAATGATTGATGAAAATTTGATTCTATTATTATGTATAATATTATATTTAACAGTTTATATAAGTTATGTATCTGTTATACTTCAATAAATTCTGTTATTTATAAAGATTGAAAGTGATTAAATAAAAGAGTTAGTATTAGATTAGTTATTGTTATTACTAAATTATTGTGTTTGTTTTCTATTTGAAATTATTCAATTTTTAAAGGAAAAAAAGAAATTTTTGTTGTATCTGTTTTTACACTTTTGTGATTGCAAGATATTTTCTTTCGCTATTTAGTTACTGTTTATATTTTTTATTTTACTTTATCCGCTGTTCTAAAATACACTTAAACATAAGCTAGTAATTTATTATAGTAATTTTTTGTATTGCTAGACGTTTGATATCGATACTATGATATATAATAGTATATCATATGTTACATTTCGATCTCTGTAGTTCTATATTAATTTCTATCTCGGTGATTCTACATTATACATATCTTTATTAATATTCCATGACAAAAAAGAGTATTATTTAAATTGATTATTTTAATATAATTTATCGTAATTAACTATATTATTTATTATTTTAATAGAATAACTGTTTTAATTCTTCATATTTTATTTATGTTTGTTTTTAAGATCTTCCATCTATTTTAGATTGATAAATATGAAAATTTGCATTTTACTTTTTAACTTTGTCGATTTTAATTATATTCTTAATTCGTTTTTTAATCGAATTATGATTAATGAATGAATCGTTTTGTTATTTCGATTACATTAATGATGACAATTGGAATGTTATCTATTAATAAAATATTTTATATATTACTTGTAAGTAGCCATTTTATAATAAAATATTTTATATATTACTTGTAAATACATTTTACAATAAAATATTTTATATATTACATTTTATATATTACATTTTACATTAGCCATGTTCATGTTTGTGTATGATTTACAATGGTATTTATTCTTTTATATTTTTTTAGTTGAGTTTACAAGAAAATTTATCAATTATTTAATTACTCAAAAAATTAATCTAAATATTCCATATAATTCTATATATTTGCATGTTGCATCCCATATGCTGTTTGCATATGATCCAGCCATGTGAACTCTGAAATCATCATATTCTAAATTTTCATCTTTTAAATTTTCGTTTTTTTTTCATTAAATATTTTTTTTACTTCATTATTAGTTTTGTTCAATATCTTTTATTTAAAAATGATGAATAAGTACAAAAGCGAGTCCTTTATCATTATTTTCCTCATGATTATACAAATGATCATAGAAATCATTGTATTTTTTATAATTTTGTATACTTAAATTTAATTAAATAAAAATAAAACATCATTTTAAAAACATATCGCCATCTAATAGTTGTTTTCAATTTTGAGTTGTATTGACAGTGTTTCAAATTTGCTTTTGTATTATTAAATGCATAGATACATACTTACATGCCAATATATACATATATAATTTACATATACATATATAAAATTATGAACGAATAAGAAATTTATTTTGTCTATTTGATAGTTTAACAAAAATTAGAAAAAGACTTATTATTAAGAATGTAATATCGCTCGATTCATTTTTTTTTCAATTCTAATGATGAATTTAGACATTCTATAATGAATTCAACAATTCTATAATGAATTTAGACATTTCATGAATTTTTTGAAAAATAAAATAATAAAACATACTATTAATATCGCTATTATTCTAATTTGATTGTTATAATTATTATAATTCATTTTGCAATCATTCACAAATTAATTGAAACGGAATCGAATAGAACAACAAGTAAAACGATTGTATTGTATCAATTGCATTATATACACAGTCATATATGTAAAATATATATATATATATTCATATATAAATAAAATGAAATAAAATAATACTAATTTTTATCGAAAATATATCAAAAACTATAAATTTGTAATCATTGTAATCTTTGAGACATAAGCTTTCTATCAAACTATCATATATCTTTTAATTCCTTATTTCAATAAGTAAAATTATATCGAAACTTTTATTTTCTCGATAAATATTTAGAAAACGATCATCATATATATAATATAAATACAATAAATATAAATACAATATCTGTAATATATTATACAATAAAAATATTATATCAACATATTTATATCAACAACTTTTTTTTATATATGCAATCTTCGCTCTTAATTTTAGATATATTTATAAAAAATTGTATATATTATTGTTGAATTTCACCTATATATCTAATAACGTATGGTTTATTATGTGCACCACGTCGTTTATCTACTGTTTCTATAATACTGCAGCAGTTAGTATCTAAAATACATAAAGAATGAATATATAGTCAAAAAACTATGTTCTCATAATAGACTTGAAATATTTTAACTCTAATATTTAGAATGTAAAAATTAAATATAAAAAGGCTAATTTTAGTTATTAATATAATGAATTAGAGAATGAACGATAATTCGATTGAAAATTTAAAATTAACTATCTTAAGCATTATAATGTTTGTAATTGTTGAAAATTCATAATTTCTAAAATTAACAAAAATTATTATTATTACAGAATTTTGTTTATATATATGCATTCAATGTATATATCAATGTGGGATTGCTGTTTATTTTTATAAATATATTATACTATATTTAAAATGTATAATGGATGAACTAATATAACTTATTATTTATAATTAATATTTATCTATGCACAGATTGAATATTCTATATTTTTTGAATGCAAGAATAAAATAAAATAATTTTTGGGAGATTGAAATTACTATGACTATTATTATATATTAAATTATTTAATATACGATAATTAATATATTTGATTTCACTATTATTAATTTCAATTATTCAAAAATTGTTATATATTTCATTTTCATATTTTGCAAATCCATTGGTGATATTATTAGGTGTGCAAATAAGTTCTTTCTCCTTTTTTTCCAAATTCAAGATTTTATTAATAAATATAATCAGATACAAGATTATGTCTCAAAGTATTCATCCTCATTCTTTATAACTATTTGATGAATAAATTATAAATTCCATCCCTGAAGAATGACAGCTGCTTGCTAGTTATGAAATCATCAATATATTTTTGGATATCTTCTACTGAATTGAAGTGCTTCTCCGACAATTGGTATTGCAGATTCTGAAAAAAATGGTCCTCTGACGGGGCCAAGTCTGGCAGAACTTCCTATCCTAACATATAAATTGTGTTTCCTTTTATAATTGAGCATTGTCAGATTGCGAAATCACGTGATTTGTTTCTTATTTAATAAACGGCCGTTTCTATCCTAGCTGATCATTTAAATTCATTAATTGATAATATTCGGCAGTTGTTTTTCCAGGTGGAAGCAGTTCATAATGGATCATTCCTCGGAAATCTCAGCAAAACTTTTTTGCATTGCAAATTCAATTTTACCACTGAAGTTGACGAGTTCAGGATTAACCCATGATTTCTGTCGATTGTCATATAATATTATATCATATAATATCATATAATATAATATTTTTCATTACCAATAATAATTTTGTGCAGAAAACTTTTCCTTTTTGCCATGGAAGCAAGACAATAGAAATCTCGAGTCTGTTTTTCTTATTCATTTCGCTTAATTCGTGAGACTTATTGTTCTAACTTCTGAATCTTATTCAATTGTTTTAGTCGGATAGATAAAACAATACTTGTCTGGTGACTCCCAATCTTTCTGTCAATTCTTCTTACATCTTCATCGGATTTTCGTTGAGCAATTCCTTTAACTCACCATCATCAAACTTTCTCGGTGCATTTGAAGAATCGTAGTCTTTTAAATTAAAATTTCCGGCTTTAAATCTTTAGTACCATTTTTTGCATATTCTGTAAGATACAGCATTCTCTTCTACAGTGCCGCACAAACAATCAATACTTTCAAGAGCTGATTTCCTAAATGGAATGCAAAAAGTAAGCAATGACGTAAATAATGCTTCTCGCATATTACTTGAAATTGTTGCATAAACTCTTAGAGCGCTTATCACAACTTTTCTTAAAAACAAAAGAACGCTCTTTCAAATGGCACCACAAACGGAAAGTAATTCGAATTTAGTCAGAAATTATGATCATAGAAAAAGGAGAAGAAACTTATTTGCACATCTAATAAATCAGTTTATACATTTTAAATCATCAATGATATGTTTATCGCATATTGATATATTGATATACATTTTGTCATGAACATGAACATATACTATGAATTTAGATAACAATTCTTGAGATAGCTTTCGATTCAATTATTATGCTTTTCGATTCGTTATTCGTATTATAATAATAATTAAATAAATAAAGTAATGCGAAAAACAAAGTGACCAAAAATATTATTATCATTTTTCGATCATACAAGGATTATATCACATTATATGTTTTATATTTTATTTAAATTTTTTCCATAAATTTAAATAAATATTAAATATAGTAATATTAATTTGCTTATTATTATATATTTTGTTAACTTTTATATATATATATATATATATATATATATATATATAAATGCTGATTGTCTAATATGTTTATATAAATAATTCATTAAATAAGTGATTTGCACTCATTGTCATGAACGTACATAATCGAAATTCATTATCATAAATGTACATAATCGAAATTCAATGTATTAAAAACAAACTAACTCAAACATTAAAGCCAAGCAGCAATTACATATATTGAAAAAAGTTGTTAAAAATTGTTATTCTTTATAATATATTTAAAATTAAAAATGACAATCACTTTCTAAATAATCATTATTTTTTCTTTACCTTAGTATCTTGATCCTCGAGCGGTAAATCGGAAAATTCAGAACTGACTTCAGTACAACGTATACGCATAGTTCGCGAAGGTGTCACCAAAAGCGTTAGATTTGTACGCTGAAAAAAAATATAGTAAGTAATTAATCTCAATTTGAAAACGATATTTGAACAATTCTCTCTGAACAATAGTCAAAGAACAATCGACTTTTCTTTACCTCTTTAGCAATACAACCATGTGCTTCTTTGAATTGTAAAACTATTTCTCGAAAGTCTCGAGTCGCATTCCATCGTGACCACGAAAAAATATAAGAAGTAGATAAAAGAGCCATACACTCTCTTAAGTGTTTCTCTGCAATCGGGTGTTTTATTGGAAGTCCTTTCAAATAACTGGCAGCATCTCGTTCCGGAAAAAGATCACATCCAACCTGTTGTAACCGCTGTGAGCAGCTTTTGCATTACTTACTGTCAATTATTTGATTATCGCGAGAAGATAGATGGAAATATATGATTTAAATCGAAGAAAAATTCAAAATGAATTATCACATACCTCGATTAAATATTCTAATTCGAAATATTCACCGAGAATTTCTTCAAGCGGTGTACACGTGGTACCGGTGAATGATTTTAAACAAACTTGATCTTCCTATATAAATAAAATTGATTTGAAATATAAATAAAAAAGTATCAGATAATTAAATAAAAAAATTTCGCATTTAAATTTTAAGTTTCAATTGGGGAAAGTACCCTGATAAGAAATTCAGCTTGAACTATAGCAGCTGTAACAGTGAGAATTACTCCAATGTGAACACAGCCACTTTTTTTCGTTTCTGGTTTTAATTCCCAACTTTGAAATGGAAGATTTGCGTATTTATATCCAGCTAATCCATGAATACCCAATCTTCCAGTTCTGAAAGCAATTGTTTGTTTCTCTTCATTGTATTTAATATCGTGAATGTCTTTTGTTGACCATATCCTTTTTTCTGGTAGCCAATGAGCGACTACTGGTGGTTCAAACCAGAAAATCGACTTGGGTAATCTGTCAGAAGAACAAGACAAACAGCAACAACAATTTCTATTAACAAATTCTTAGAACAAGATTGTGTTAATAGAAGTGTATAAGAAAAGAAATTTGCGCAAACTGACTTGAGGGTAAGCAAGATTAATGCATCCATTGCCACTTCTAAAGCTTTCATTTCAGCTTCGATAATTTCCGGCGTTCTTTCGGAATCTGGATCTGACCGAGGTGTTTCATATGGTTTATAAAATGGCACAAATTTTGGTTCTTTCGGTAACTCAACTGTAAAAATGAATATGGTTTCATTTTCGATTCGAAATTATGTTTTTGTTACTAATATGTGATTATGATTTAAAACCAGCTATTTATATATGTATATTTTAACAGATATGAGACACAACATTGATTTATAGGCATTAACATTAAATTAACCAATATTAAATATTGAAACTATACAAAAAGGCTATAATAGCTTCAATAGTAAGGTTATTTTGGAGGATCAATTCTAAAGACTAAAACAAAAATATAATTTATATAAAAAAAAATATTAGTTAAATTTTATTAAAAATAAACAATTAAATTTCTTTCAGATAAATTAATATAGATCTATGTCTGTCATATCAAAACCTGATCTGACAGGATCAATGCCCTGTAGAGTTAAAGCATAAAAATAAAAAACATTTGATATTTTGCAAATAAAAAATAGAGATAAACAGAATTTATTTATTTTTTTGCAATTAATTATTTTTCTCCAATTAATTATTATTGATAATAATAAGTATAAAACCTAAAAAATTTATAATAGTAATTAATTTTTTATTAATTATATATATATATATATATATATATATATATATATATGTATATATACTTTCTCTGTCCGAAAATATGATATACATTTAAAAGAAAATCTTAGATTATCTAGAGTTTCGAAAGCAACTGACAATACTCATTATATTGGTATTGTTTACATTGATAGTTAAATAACCTAACATATTTGATAGGCTTTTGAGTTAAGTTGAGTTAAAAATTTGAATATCAAAAATTAGTTTTTTTAAGAAAAATAAAATAGTCAGGGCTGTAATTTCAAAATTTTAATCCAAATAATATGAATTTACAAAGAAGAGATAGCAAATCGAAACAATTGATTAATGAACAATGTTAACGTTACAACAGCAATATACAGTATACGAAAAACAAAGAAAAAATAGAATATGATGCTATTAATAAAGTTGCAAAGTTCTTCTGATAATGATAAAGATATTGTTGTTGCAGGTTCTACCAATGGTTGGAATATTCAATTTAAGTCACAATCACCAACAGTCCTGATTTAAACGTTTTTGATTTGGAATTTTTTTTAACTTTATTCAATCACTACAACATGAATCTTCGCTAAACACAATTGATGAATTGAATGAATCTGTTCAAGATGCATTTAATAAATTAAACAGAAGCACTCTTGATAACATTTTTGTTGTTATTAAATGTTACTTTAACTAAATTTGGATTACACTAAAATTACTTGTATTTAGTTATATTATGATAATAAAATGAATTTAATATTTTTTTTTATTATTTTAGTTTTATTTTATTTAATTTTTTTCGCAAATGTATATCATATTTTCGAAAAAAAAAATTAAAATGTATATCATATTTTCGAACAGAGGAATAATTTTATATAATATATAATATTATATAATTTTATTTTATTATTAATTTTATAAGTATTCAATATCTTTTTATTTTTTACTTTTATAAATAATTATTATTTATTATTTTATTCTTTCATTTTTGATCAAGTTTAATTAATTCTTATATCTTTTATTTTTATATCATATCATTATTCTTTATATGTCTCATTCTCATATGTATATACATATATACATATCTTATTCTTTATATCATTAATTAATTCATTAATCTCATTTATTTTTTAATTGATCCGTTCCATATCATATACATATATTAATTAATTATATCTTTATTTTTTACATTTTTAAGGAGCAACTTTAAAACCTTTAAAAATTACTCGAGAAAATGTTCTGAACAATACATGTCAAGATCATCAGATCAAGATTATCAGAACAATCTAAATAAATATTATGATAAATATTTCTTTCATAATTTAATAATAATTAAATAATTAATAAAACAATAACTATAACGTGCAAAATCTATATTTTATCAAAATTTCTTAATACAGTTAATTAGATTTTTGAAATTATAATTAAATTCAATATTTAACAACCAGAGTTGTGTGAAAGAAATATCAAAGATTACCATATACTTTAAACATAATTTTAAACATAATTACTTGAACAAAAGAAAGAAAAGAAATAAATTATTTTTATAATATTCATAATAAAATATATCACTTTAGTTTATTTAGAAAATTATTTTAAAAAATATTGTATTATAATATATCACTAACAATAACAAAAATAATAAAAATGTATAATAAAAATGTATAATAATCATGTTTCTTATTCATATTAAAATATAAATATCATATAAATCATTATATAATTTTTCTTTCGATCTTTAATTATAAAATTGATAAAATGAAACTTAAAATAGCCTTAATGCAAAAAATTAATTTTTTTTTTTAAAATGAACGAATCCTATTTTTATTTGCAACTATCTAATAATATTGTAATATTGCTCATTAAGGATTGACTTATGAAGCAATTAAAATAATTTGAATTTCATTTTTCAATAACTTTAACATTTTCAATAGTTTAGATTTTCAACAATTTAGGTTTCTTTATATATGAATAATTTATTCACTCATATTATGATTTTCTAAACTTTCAATGAACAGAAATAGTTAAAGAAATAAATAAGAATGCTGAATCTTACTAGAATCTAATTCTCAGTATAATTTTGTTATATAGAAATTCTGTAGCAGGTTAAACATAAAATTTAGATCAACAAAATCGAATATTTCGAATATTAAGAATTTAATTAATTTTATAACAGAAAAAATCCAAATTAGTATTTCTTTCAAATATAGTAAATTTACCATTCTATGCCTAAAAAAATTATAGTAGATATACCGAATTTCTTATTAGCCAAAAAAAAAAGAATATAGAAATATTACACATAGCTGATTAGACGATCGTTAATTTAATCAATGTGGGAAAATAGACATGCTCATCGGAATGGATATATTTTATTGTGTATAGAATAACATAGGAAAATCTTCATTTATTAGCAAAAGATTGATTCAATATTTGCAATAATTTTATCTGGTATAATCGGAAAAATCTGATGTTAAGTGTCATGTTAGAAACAATGATAACTAATTTGCTAAATTTTGGAAATAATTTTGGAAAAAATTTTGGAAATATCCGCAAGACTTGAGTAGAAACAAGATTATTGTAAATCTCATTTCTTAAAAAACTTGCACATTGCAAATAGACGTTTATATGGTCAGTATATAATTTTGTAATAATGTGCTGCAATTAGACTCATATGAACATATCAAAAAATGATTATAATCTTTTAAGAAAAAATTAGCTGAACAATCGGAATTATTAGAACAAATGATAAATTGCAAAATACATTCATCAGAAAAAAACATCCTTTGCTGAACGAATTGCCTTCAAACATCTAATTATAGAAATAGTAATAAAACACAAGTACATTAGATTATTACATGTGAGATGGCAACAAAAAATAATATCGTTGTATCAGCGATATTGATATATAGTCTAGCACTTAAATTATGGTATGCACCATATTTGACTGAATTGTGGAAAAGTGCAATGAAATTCTCAAAATATCATTTACGTTACATTGTTGGCGAATGAAAATTAAATGTTCGAAGAATTATATATTCTGCAGATTCAAATAGAGTTCTGTTTGAATTCTCATTTCTTTATTTCCGTGTTATCGGATTCTGATGATTTAAATTTTTCAAAATTATTTCTTAATCGACAATACATATCGAAAGACAATTTGTGAAAAATCAAAATGAATTATTTAGATATCAACTAATTCAAGAAATGTTCCAGCATTTCTGGTAGCATTGAAATAAAGAATATATATCTATATATATATATATATATATATATATAAAACAGCATTCTAACTCATCTGTATATATAGCAAAGAAACAAGTGGCACATTTTAATAATACACATCTTATAAAAAAAAATGATTTAGTGACAATACAAGAGAAAAACCTATCTTCTCTGCAATGGTAGATAGAGTCATAGAACTATAATAGGGAACAAACAATATTCCATTTCGAGTAATTTGAATGACGGAGATTAAAATCAATTATATAAAGAGAAATAAAAATTTTAGAAAATTAGAATTAGTATATATTTTAATATCAACGTTATTCGTTGATATTAATCAATATTCGTAAAATCAATTGAAAATTTAGTCATAAAATCAATTAAAAAATCAATTATATATTTAGTCATAAAAAATACTAGCTCTATATTATTTCAGTATATAATTAGTATTGAAGTCGCTAGCGATTTCAAAGCGAGCAAGCTGTTAACAAAAATGTATAAAAACAGAAATTAGGATTGACTTATGAAATGGTCAATTGTCAATTGCTTGAATTTCACTTCTCAATAACTTTAGCATTTTCAACAGTTTAGATTTCTTACAAGTTTTCGTTTTGGTACAAGGTTTTTAATAATAATGAAATGAATAATAAATTATAAATACATTATTCTAAACTCTCAATTATTCTCAATTATTCGAGAAACTAAGATACAATGGCAATGGCCAATTTATAAGTTATGCGCCATACCTTGTGACTAAAATAATTATTAAAGATTTTGATCTCTACGCATTGCGATTTATCTTTTGAGAATCCATTGTTGGAAAATGCCCTCCAATTAACTATTGATTTTTTTTCTTTTTAATTGTTATTATTTTTTTTTTTGAAATAAAATAATAATTGCAAGAAGAACCAAGATTCATAACAGTTTCCAAAAAATCAAATTTCAGAACATATTCAATTATCAATTAAATCACAATTAATTGTCACAGAAGTCAGAAAGATTTAATATAAATTAAATCACAATGAAAAACTGCGGAATTCAATCAATCACAAAAATTAAATTAATTATTATTAAGTTTAATTAAAATTCACAATATAAAAATGTAGTATAATCATAAGTGATTTTTTGAACGATAGTATTCAATTAAAACACTCACTTTACAATCTCAAAATCACACTTTGTTGGACTTTAATATTGTTTATATGAATAATTGCTGAACAATACTATTCTAAATAGTGATAGTGATATGTACATAAACTCACGAGTTGTCAAGTAAGTATCTTTTCCAAGATCCTTCGGTTGCGGTGGTTGATAGAGAATATCCACGCGAAATACTCCACCGAGAATTCTATATTTTCGCAAGTTCACTTCTGTTTTTTCGCATCGAGTGAATAGTAATTTTTTGCTTTCTAACATAGCTTTTTCTACGAACAAAATATTCTATATTTGCATAATTTTAATTTTTTAAATGAAAATTAAACGAAATTTACATTATATGAGAATTAAACGAAAGCTGTACCTTCCCTTTCAAGAATGATCTCATTTGGGGTGGGTAAATAAGGTAATAATTCCGATTTTGAAGGTAATATTGAAGTCAACATGGATTCAAATTCTGTTTGGTGATCTTTCGGCGAAGATTTTTTTTGCTTTTTAGCACGTTTTCTCTTATCGATTCGCGGTACTGAAGGATACTCTAACTTTTCGAGTATCGCTTTTTTCTCTTCTAATCGCAAACGTCGTCCTTCTGCTTGCTCTTCGCTTATTCGAATTTTTTCATCATATTCTTTTACTGAATATTCAAAAAGACCTAATAAAGGAAAAAAAACGAAAAAAAGAATTAAATTATAAACAATTATAAATCAATAATCTGAATGAAAAATTGATATAGAATATAGAATGATATATAACACACCGAGAGCAGGATTCCACAAATCGAATAATTCTGGAAGTTTGGACATCCAATAAGAATTCGATCCAATCGAATAATGATCGTAAGCAAGCCATAGACCTCTAATCGCCATCCGATGACAATCTATGTTGCTTGGCATTTTAATTCTCAACTTTATTTCTTTGAATTCTATTTCAATGCATTTTCTATTGAGCAAAATGTGAATTATATTAGACTTAATAATAGCTTAATAACACTAAAAATTAAATTGAAGAAAATATATACCCAACTACGGGAAGTACCGATAATCGATCTCTTTCCATTACTTGTGGTTTCATTCCTATTGGTAACGTGATCGGAGCCCAAACACAACATATTGCTTTGTTCATAGTCCGAACGTATCTAGTTGTTTTTGTATTTTCTCTAGTCATATTTGTCTCAATGTTACGTAACATACGATAACATGCAAGATCTATCCATCGTTGCAGTTTTAACCGAAGTTGGGCAGCAATCTATGCATTAATCACATGAACATTTTACTGAAGAAAGTAAAAGAAGAAATGGGACAAAATTTTATCAAAAATTACCGTTTCGTATTCAGCCACATATTCTTTTGTAATTAACGTGGAAAAGCGAATAATTTTATCAAGTTTATTCAATAACTGAAATGCCATATTATAATTAATCGTAATTATAAAAAGCTGAAACATATACATATTACTTACGTGTATGATTACTCGACATTTTTCCTCTATTGTATCCATAGTTGCAAGTTCATCTTCCAATGACCAAAGAAACAAAAAGGTATTCATGTCAGATAGCAATCCAGGATTCGGAAGACCATCACAAGTCATATATCGAACCCACTAAAATTCATTGACAGAAATAGACAAAAATGATGATAATTTTTAATAATTATTTAACAAAGAAAAATAAAATACAATATGACCCAAGCATCATATTGAATTGAAATTTTAAAGAAGTGAGAAGTTTAGAAGAAGAATAAAATCATACCATCCAAAAGTTTAGTTTCAGCTAATTTCTGACATAAGTAATAAAAATTTTTTTATCACATTGAATATTGCATATATTATAGATAGATGCAAATAATTATTTACTACTTATATAAATAATTACTATAATTATTTAAATATGCTTTCCAAAACTTATTAACTTATAACTATACAGTTTTTAATTGTCAATCAAAATTAAAAATGTAATATAATATATGTAACATAGTAATAAGAAATATAAGTTATGACAAACTTAACTTATGACAAATTTAACAATTTTATTTAATTTTTAAATAAACTATTCGAATTATTCGAGCATTTCTGAGAACAAGTTCTTTTTTTTGAATTTCTTTTTATCATAGGTATTGATCATTTAAATTGATAGATAAATCAATACATTATACATATAAATTATTATAGATTATTATTTAAATTGTTTTCATTACATAGATTAATCTAAATTATTACTTCTCTATTAATTATTTTATTATTATTTTATAATTATCCTCTATTAATTAATCTATTAAATTTATTAATTAGATTTCTGTACTTTGAAGATATAATTTTATTGATCTTCATTTATTTTTAGTTGTTGTTTGAAAATTCCAGTTTTAGAATCAAAAAAATTGATGATAAATTAATTTACTGACAAATATTGATATTTCAAATAATTGTAAACTTTTCAATAATTAAAATAAACCATTATTCTCCAAGCAATATATTTTTTGATTATTAAAATTAATGACGATTTCTCTTGTTTTTGAGACATATCTTTAAATCAAGTTCTTGAATCTCTGTTTCTAAAATCCCAAAAATCCATCTATTTTTAACAATGTAATCTCTTTTAAATTTTTAATAATCAAATTTCATTTCATGAATTTCAATTATTTTTATCATTGTTAACTATTTTTTCTATGATTAGCAGAAATTTCTTTACAATAAAAATTTGCAATTGTTTTTCAGGAAACATTAAATGTAAACTCTTCATTTCATTTTTAACACTTCCAATTTTAAAAAATATTTTTAAATCTTAAAAGATTTCATGGAGATTATGATACTCAAATTATGTTGTTATTTTTTATATTATTATTTTATTTGTCATGAATCGTATAGAATGTTTAAAACATCACTATTGTATGTATGTATTGCCGTTTTTTGTTATTAAAACTTTATAAAAATTTTCCGTGATATTTTTCTCATGAGATATTAGGGTGTCCCATAAATCTTTTTTTTTAATACGAAATGAATACATGATATTTGTTATTTACGGTTGATTTATTGCGTTATATATGAATTTCTATTCTAATACTTTCTTACATTTCTCAGCAAGTCTTATTATTCTCTTCCAAAATTTTTGAGGCTTTGCAAAATATTCCTCGTGCGTTTTTATTTCGCTTATTGGAACTATTTATCATGAAAAGAATTTTTTAATGACAAGAACAAATAATAGTCGGATAGAACAAAATCTGGGAAAATGCGAAAAAGAACATTCTAATCAAATTTTAACAGTTTTTCTGTTATAGCCAATGCAACATGCGATTTTACATTGTCATGATGAAAAACGACGCCTTGTCAATTCGCTAATTCCGTTTTTCTAATATGGAGGCTTTCAATTTATCAAGCTGGTTGCAATATTTTGCAGAATTGATAGATTCACCTTGAGGAAGGAGTTCATAGTAAACTACATTTTTCCAATTCCACTAAATGAACAAAAGAACTTTCTTCGGATAAAGTCCCGCTTTGCGACAGTTGAAAATCTATTGTCCTTAAATCAAGTACGTTTTCAATGCATATTTTAATACAAAATTCAAGTCTCGTCTCCAGTGATAAGTCTCTTTAAGAAAGGATCTCTTTCATGTCGCTGGAGAAGTAAATCGCACGTAGAGATGCGATTCATAAGAATCGCAGTCTCCGTCAATAGCTGTGAAATTCAAACTTTTCATCGATTGATATATCCCATTCTAATCAGATGATTATGTACCATTGTTCTGGGAATGTTAGTGATATTCGTTATCTCACGCACGTTATATCGCAGATTTTCAGCGAGTATGGCCTTGATAAGTTCCGTATTCATCGCTGTTGAACGGCCGCTGCGGACTTCATTTTTCAAGTCAAAATTGCCAGCTCTTAAACCAATTGCGGATGGTCATAATAGTCGTAGCAACACTCCTGTAAACGGTACAAATTTCTGCAATATCATTTGCACTATCACCTTTTTTAAAGCAATGAAGCATAACATGCCGCAAATGCTTCCTTTGGCTATTCATATTAAATGGTATAGAAAAAAATTTTAAAAGAGAAAATCAACAAAACATCAATAAAATATAGTTTAAAAGAGCTCTGAGACAATTGAAATCATAAACGGCTAATAAATAAATTTGCATGTTTATATAAAAATAGCCAGTTAAAGTCATTCCTAGCGCGAAAAAAACTTATGGGATATCCTAATATTTGTTATCTTCTAGCTAAAATTATCTTCGAGCTAAAATGCTATTCGAGCATTTTACTTAGATAAGTCCTTCTTTTGTGATAATACTTTTAAAATAAGTTTTTTTACATTCTATATTTTTATATTTCCTTTAAGACGTTCATTTGTTAAATCTTTACAATTAATATTATAGAATGGAATAAACATACACAAATTAAAATATGCATAATACAATTCAGACTATCTGTTCTTCTTAAGTATCTTTCACGATGAATAAAACATAAACCAATCACATTATTTATTCACTACTTTTACAGAATATTAATATATTCATGCAACACCTTTGAAAAATTGATTCTAAAGGCCAAAACAAATACAAAAATTATAAGATATATAAAAATGTCAGTTAAAGTTTATTAAATTATAAGTTAAAGTTTGTGTTTCACAAAAAATTTGATAAAATTTAGAAAAAAAATGAAATTATTTTGTCTTCCTTATATCATATTCTATTCTTATTTCATTTTATTTAACTCACATTTATAAATTTAATATTTAAATTTAATAATAAGTTAATAAATAAGCCTTAAGTGATATTTATATAGCAAATTTTTATATTTATTTTGATTTAATCAACTCTAAAAATGTTCTATGAATAAGATAAGATTTCAATCCAAATTTTCAAAAATGAGTATACTATAAATATATTATAAATTTAATTAATATATAAACAAAAAAATATATATTTGCAAATATAAATACATATAAATTTATAATATTAAAAAAAAGAAAAAAATAATAATAGTTTTTGAAAAAAAAATAATTGATTCTATGCATACAATCATTTCATTCGAAAAATGATGCTCGCTTTAAGTTATGGCTCAGATAAAAAATTTATATTATAAATTTAGTAAAAAAAAATTATTTTCTTTTTAAAAGATACAAACATATTAATTACATATATTCAAATATTCTGAATATTTTTCGTGAAAAAATTTTTCACAAGTCAAACACTAAATTCAGTAATCTTATTTTGATGTATGATACTGTTCCTCGCATTCCGTTTATTTATTAGTATAGTATTGCTTTTTCTTCCTAAAAATATGATCATTTTCTTTTGCTTGAAAATCTGCAAAATTTTCATCAGAAAATTATCTTGTATATAAATTATTTTCCGTTTAGATCTGTTTACTTCTTTTGTTTAAGATTCTAAATTGCAGAGATTCTAATTAAGATTCTAATTGCATTTCTTTTTTAATATTTCTTCTTTTATCAATATTTTCAGAAGAAATTAAAATCATAGCAATCTGTTTTCTATATTTTCTCATTTACTAACTGTATACACTAAAATATTGGGAATTTATTTTTTAATAATATGTCTATTGTTTTTGCTACAGAAGTTTCTATTAAGTTTTTCATTCTATAATTTCATTAATATTTATAAAATGTTTTAATCTTTCTTCTGATCGTTCTCGTGTTTCATTTTAAAAAAATTTGAAATTGCATTTGAATTAAATTAGATATATATATTTTTTTATAGTAGATCATATATATTGCATAAAAAATCAAACCGTTTAATTCAAAAATCGAAAAAATGATTACTCATTTATTTTTTTAATAACTGTATGAATATATTTGATAATACAAATATAAACATAATCTCTGAATATTATATTAACGCATTATATTCCGAAAAAATTATTATATTTTGCTAAAATATCATTGTAAATTTAAAAAATATGTAAAAAATTTTCGGAATATACAATTTTTAAATTATATATAATTTTTAAATTATATATATTTGTCTGATTTTTCAATTAAAAATAAACAGAAATAACTATAAAAATATTATGTACATAATACACAATATACTATTAAAAATATCTGAAAGAATGTTTTATAACTTTTCGAAATCGAATCATTTGAAGTTATCCTATATTAACGTTATTTTCTGTACACACATAAAATTAATAAAAATTCCATTCGTTAATACTTGTAATAACTTCAATTGAAATTGAATTCATCATTGAAATTGATTTAAAACATTCCATAGTTACTGAAGTAACTATGTAGTATTAGTATAGTCATAATAATTGACGACAATGATTATCACAACAAAAATAATTATTTATAATAATGTTTAGATAAGTCTCTATTTAATGTAATAGAATAATAATCATATATTCAATATACGGTATTGAAAATTTTTTATTAATATTTCGAAAACTAATAATTGATTAAAATTTTATAGTCTACTTTTTTCCCTTACCATTCTTTAAATTTCGTATCGATTAACCTTTGCAGTACTACTACAGTCAAGAAAACTTCTCATCGATTTCGATAATTTTGAAATATGTTGTAAAAATTTTTGATTAATTCATCCATTATTCATTTTAAGTTATTTATTTATTTATGTCGGTCATGATATGTTCATATAAAAAAAAGATATATATGCATATACACGGATGCATTTGTATAAAATTCTATATAATAGTAGCAAAAATTTTTTAAATTAAATTTTTTAATTTTTTTGTAAATATTTCGAAAACTAAGATCTAAAAGCGATTATATATATAAAAAAAAATTGTTCAAAATTTTTTCTTCTATAATTAATATTTATATAATTATAATATTTTAAAATTGACAGATAATTCTCTTTTTATAAAATATAAATTACCGAATTCTTCGATCATTTAAGTAACAAAATTTTTCAATTAAATTATAAATACTAACATTGTCTTCTTCTTCCAACTTTAACATATTCTTCATATACGCTGTCCAGTGTCGAGAAAGAATTGCATGCGTCTGTTCTAATTGTTTTTGACGATTCCTCGCTTCTTCTGCTTCGAATTCTTTCCTTTCTTTTTCATATTGTTGTTCCATACGGATATTATCTTGCAAGTCCTTTATTATTTTATCTCTGCACGATACCAAAAAGAAAGCGAAAAATCTATAGAACAACTTCTAAGATAAAACAATGTTAGTTTTGTTTTTATAATACCTGATATCTTCAATTCGGATAGGAACTTCAATACCAGGAGGAACTTCAATCTTTTTTTCTATTGGTAAAATTTTCCATGGCTTGTGTATATCAGGTTGTTCATGTTCCGCTAACGCTGCCATCGCCTCCTTCTAAACCAATCAAAAATATTTTTTTCGCGATTCGAAAAAATTTTATTTCGAAAACGATCGCGGTGTTTGGATATCAATACATTTGCCAAACTGACTGATTGAAAAATACCGAACACAAATAAATCAGATTGACTGGCTTGAATCGCATTACGTCGCTATGCCGTAGATATCGGCGTGATCAATCACGATCGTTGCCGATCTCGATACGTAGTACATCGAAATAACCTGCCATTCTCGCCATTTTTCCACCTGAAATATAAATAAAAAATTAAATTAAATATGGCGAATTGAAAGTTAAAATTATATATAAATATTTCTTCTTTACCAATGATAAAACGCGACGTGGTGCATCGAAGGATTTCGCTCGTTCTTTTTCCACCTCTTCTGTGTCTTCTATATATTCCTCGTAAGAGATTTCCGAGTTATTAAAAACAACATGTTCCTGATTTTTGGTTTTTTGATCAATCATCGATTCTTTGTTACTCGATTCTCTACAATATCAACAATTTCAATTATTTACATTCATCAATAAACTATTATTTCATCAAACTATTCCAGCCATCTTATAAATATATATATATATATATATATATATATAAAAGAGTTGATACGAGGGTTATTTATTAGTAATTCTATACCTTTTCAAGATTTCTTCTTGATCCAAATTAAAGTGTAAAGAAGTCAATGGTGTTTGTATTCCATTTTGTCGGGGAATCGTTGACATCGATGTTTCCGAAAGAACATGATTTGATGAATTCATCATATTTTGAAAAATTTTTCTTTACAAAAAGCGATCCCAATCGACAAAAAAATTCGTAGCCATTACCAAAACAAATGATAGCAAATGGATGATACGGGTGTACGAAATAAATAAATATGTTACATATGTAACACATTTATAGTAGACTTATAATATTGAATATGATTGAATAGTAAAAAAAAGGAAGCACAATATTAAATGTAAAAAAGAATAAATTAAGATCAACATTCGTAATTTCATGTAAAAATCTATGTACAATATTTCTATTAATATTTAATATTTATTAAGTTATATATATATATTGCGAATTTGCCATAAATCTTTATGAATGATCAAGTTGTTCATGATTATATATATAACATGATCTATTACATATTAAGTGCATATATGAATATATATAATAATCCGTGCAATAATATTTTTTCAATATTACTTTAAATTAAATTCAAATTATTATATTTTTATATAATAAATATATTTATTCAAATGATACAAAAACATTTTATATATAAAAAAAATTATATATTAAAAATTATATTATAGTTATTTTGTACAATTATCTATTTAGTATAAAAATATTCATAGAATATTTATAAGAAAATTACAAATGTTTTTGCATCATTTGAACAAACATATTTAATTTATTCAATTATCTGTACTATTTTTTTCTTAATTAAATTGCTTAACAGTAATTATAAAAATGATGATAGTAAAAAATTGTGAATAAAGAAAAGAATTGTAAATAAAAAAAAAAAATAAAGCCAATAATACAATTTAATTCCGAAAAAATGATGAAAATTAAAAAAATTAAATAACGAAATAATCAGAAGGATAAATAAAAATAAGTTCATTTATTTTTATTTAAAAAATAAAATTAATTGTGGAAAAATACAACTAAAACAGTTTTATCCTTTAGATAAGAAATCTAAAGAAAAATTTTTCAAATAGTTTTGAAGTTGAGTTTTAATGCAATTGCTAAACAAGCTAATGTTTTAATTTATATGAATAATATAATAATTATAAAAAAAAATGTCTATCTTAAAAAGAAAAATTTGCCAAACAGTTTATTTTTTTTTTTACTACTTTTAGTAAAAAAATCTGATGAAATATTTTTGTCGATAAAAAGTAAACATTTGATTAAATATATAGAGTAATAATGGATAAAATATTATAGAATATTAATAAGAATATCAATAAGAATATTTATACATATGAATATATTCTATTTATGAAATAAAAAATATTTTTCATTGGTTAATTAATACTCACTCAAATGTTAAATATCTGATAATGTATAAATCCGGTTTAAAAGTATAAATACATATTCAAGAATTTGCTCTTTGAACCGGTATGAATTAAAATAACATTATCAATAGGTCAATTTCTGTGTCATTTCCTGAAGTTTCAATCCTTGAATTGTTGGACAATCGATCGCTTAATTAGATTGCTAGAAAGATAACGAAAAGAAGCAAATTTAGTGCAATTTTAGTGTTAAAAAAAATTAATCTGAAAATAATTGAAGATTATTATCGCCACATTATGCCTGTAAGTTATATTTGAATTGTAATTATTGAACGATTTTTTTGATTCGTTCGGAAGTAAAAATGAGAAATATTCGTTTCGAGAATGCATGAAAATTTATTATTGGTTTCAGAATTGCATAGCCGATACAAGATCAATGGAATGTGTCTCAATAGCTACGTTTTATGCTGGCCGGAATATTTTCATAACCGGTGGTAGCGGTTTTTTAGGAAAGGTATTAATCGAAAAATTATTGAGATCTTGTCCTGAAATTGGACACATATTTATTTTAATGCGGCCAAAAAAAGGATTATCTATCGACGAAAGATTGAAGAAAATGTTCGAATTACCGGTTAGTAGAAAAATACTTAACAGTAATATATACGTTCTCGTGTTTTTCATAATTTATTTTTTCTTTGTTTCTAGCTATTTGATAGACTAAGAAAAGAAAACCACTCTAGTTTCGAAAAATTAATTCCGGTTCTTGGTGATATAAGCCTCGAGGATTTAGGTTTATCAAAAATCGAAAGACAAACAATAATCGAACAAGTTTCAATAATTTTCCATATAGCTGCAAATGTTAGATTCGAGGGAAATTTAAAAAAAGATATATTTTCGAATGTTCGTTCAACAAGAGATGTCTGTATTCTTGCAAAAAGCATGAAAAACTTAGTGGCAAGTAAAATTATTTTTTTTGTACTTGGATATTTTGTATTCGATGTTTATTTTAAAAAATGCATTTTTGTGCAGGCTTTAGTGCACGTTAGTACTGCATACGCACATGTTGATAAACCGGTGATCGACGAAATTGTATATCCTTCCTTAACCGATTGGAGAAATGTTATAAAAATGGTAGAATCATTGGACGAACAAATTATACAAGTATTTACTTCTAAGTAAGTCTAAGTCTTATTAGCCTATTTTTTTCAATTCCCTTAGTATAATATTAAAGTTTAATGAATGAATGTTTCGATTATAGATATTTGGGTTCAATGCCAAATACGTACACATTTTCCAAACGAATGGCGGAACAAGTGATAAATGATTATTCGAAAGATTTACCTAGTGTAATTTTTCGGCCGTCAATAGGTATATGTAAAAAAGTTGAACGCAATAAGATGAGATATGAAAAAAAGCTGATAAAAAAACTTAATAATAAAAAAAATTGTTATTTCTTTTGATATAGTGACATCAACAATCAATGATCCTATGCCTGGCTGGTTGGACAACTTTAATGGACCTGTGGCAATGATGATTGGTGGTGCAAAAGGAATATTGCGAATAATTCGTTTAGAAGCGAATGCATGCGCAGATTTTCTTCCTGTTGATTTGGCTATTAAGATTATGATCGCAGCGGCATGGAAACGAGGATTAAACACGTATAAGAGTATCATAATTTGAATATTAATCAATTAAATATTAAATTAAATTAGATTTTTGAAAATATTTATAGAATTACCAAGGATCCAACTACTTACGTTTACAATGCCACCTCTTATCAAATCCATCGCATTTCTAATAAAGAAATGATTAAAATGGGATTGAAATTAAATGAAGAAATGCCATTTGAAGGAATCATTTGGTATCCCCAGACTTTTATAACATCGAACCGTTTTCTTTATTTTGTATTGACATTGTTGATTCATGTGATACCAGCCTTGATTATAGATGAAATTCTTAAAATAACGGGTCGTCAACCGATGTAAATATACTGTTATATACACTTTTTTACAACTTTCACTCAATATTCCAGAAATTTTTTTTTATTTAATTAGGCTGATGAAACTTCATAAAATTATCTATTCACATGTAACACAATTAAGTTACTTCTTACATAATGAATGGATTTTTTATAATTTCAAAATGTTGGACATTTTGGATATGCAAGTTCCATTGGCAGAACGAGAAATCTTTAGCTATGATTATCGCAATTTTAATTTAAATAAATATTTTAAGTGAGTAAGCGAAATATGGGATGAACGAGTAAAAAAAAAACACTAAGCAAATTTTCTTTCAATAATCCTTTTCTAATTTATTTATTTATTTTTTTTTTTTTGATTAGAAATTGTTTGATTGGAGCGAAATGTTATCTTTTGAAGGAGGATCTGAATCGATTAAAAGAAGTAAAACAACATTTTAATAGGTAAACTGAACTCACTTTAAAAAAATAATTTATTCATTGGAAATTGCACCATCAATTCAACCGTGTTATCGTATCGTTCTTTAACTGCGCATTTCATTCTCTGTCTCGAATATATTCCATTCTTGAAATTTGTTTGATCAATTTCACGTTTCCATTAGCGATTACTGCATGCTAATAATCGAATTAATGGGAATCAACAAGAATTAAAAAAATAACTTAATAATCAAGATGACCAATAATTCTTGATTGCAAGAAAAGGAAAACACGAAATAAAAATCGGAAAATGCGAAATCTAGTTTAGATAATGCAATTATATATTATTGTCTTATATCATTATTTTAATATCTTTTATTTATTTTCATTTTTATGTAAGATTAATATTAGCACTTTCTTGGTTCAATTTTAAATCGACTTATCACAGAACATTAAAAATAATACAGTTATTTTTAGGATGCAATGGATCAATAGAATTTTCAACATTTGGTTAATTATCATGTTAATGTGGATACTTGGAAAAATCGGAATATTTCCATACTTTTCAAATTGAATCGCTTTCTAACCAGCTTATAATGATTTGTTTACAATCTGAAATTATTATTTAATAACGTGTGATTGGTAAGAAAATACTAGTAAAAAAAAAAAAAGAAAGAATAATTCAATAATCAATTGTGAAAAAAAGAATTTATTCATGTATTTTATTATTTTCGAAACATAATTATATTATATTTTAATATCTTCAAAACATAATTATATTATAACATTATTATACAAATAAATTCATTATTATACAAATTAATACAAATAAAATAAATTCAGAACATTATTAATCAATCTCTTTCTCTTTTAATTTATCTATTTTTTTTCTTTTTATCTTTTTCCTCCTTAATAATGCTTTTATCAACATGCATACATATTCATGTAAATGAAATTGAAAGACGTCATCAGTATCTGCGCATGCATATTTATTCATTGTACATTTAACAAAGGCATCATTAGTCAGCAGATTAGTTAATTAATTTAACGCGTAATAAATATTATAAAATATTATTAAATAAATATTAAATTATTGATTATAAATTATTGATTATTGCTACGATTTTATAAGAAAAAAAAAAATCTTATTGAGGATCAGAAATTGGAACAATTCGGATAAAAATAGACACATAAACTATCATGGGATTATCTTTAAATAAATAGGGTAAGACTATGATTTTCTTTCTAAAATCTTTTAAATCGTGAAATGACATGACACTTTCAATAAACCAGTATTGATAATTAAAATTCATTTGATTTTCATAATATTCTTGGCTATTATAATTTAATTTTTTCTATTAAATATATTTTTCATCTAATAAATAATTTGCAAAATAACAATAAGCAGTTTCCTCATTATAAACAACAAATTGTTATCACCATCTGTGTCATTCTTATTTTCTCAAATAAAACACATATTCGTGACAATCATTAAGACTGATGATAGCTATAATAGATCATCTAATCAAAACGATCCTATAAAACGATCAATCAATTAATAATACGTGTAAATAATTACACACACATGTAATAAATTACACACACGCGCGCGCGAGCATATATACAATTACATTCAATTCGTAGTTACTATTCATTAATAATAAATTTGCAAATATATAAAAAAATATTTATGAAATATTTTTTTAATAAATAAATTTTTTTTAATAAAATAATTTAAGAATATTTTTCAATATTTCAATATTTTTATCAATTTATAATGACAAAAATTTTTATTTGCAATGATAACGCAATAAAAAAATTAATTAGTTTAATTTTTTAATTTTTACTATATAATTGATTATCGAATATTTTTTTATTATTTTTACTTTTATAGTTTACTTTTAGTTGTTATTTTTTAATTCTAACTAATGAACTGAATTTCTAACTAATGAACTTTTTTAAAATTTTTTTTTTCATTTTTAAGCAAAATAAAAAACATTCTATAAAATACTAAAAATAGCTGCATAAAAAATCTGCATAACTATTGAATCTACTTACAGGTGCAATGCTTTTGTTATAAAAAGCTATGAATTAAAATAAACGAAATTCATTAAATATGACAAATAGTAGTGCAATATTCATATCTAAAAAACAAAATACCATGCCGCATTTAATTGATTTTCATTTATTGAACGACATGAAAAATATAATCAAGAAAGTTGAAAATCTTCATTTTAATAATAGAAATAATCAACATTTCCATGTAATAAATCATATTAAAATACACACATCAACTTATTCTGGTAATCAACATGGTTGCTATCAAACAAAATGTATCTCAATTTGTCAAACATTAAACAATAATGAAAGCTATGATCAAAATTATGATCAAAATTCTAATCAAAATAATTATTACGGTTATAATCACAACGACGATGACCATAATCAAAATCAGAAATCAAAAGATCTTATTGAACGAGGATCGATCAAATCGCAATTTTCTTCATTAAATCGCAATAAACCATATTGCATAAATTTAGAACACTCACAACATTTGAAAGCAAACGAAATTTTTCTCAGCGATTATGATAAAATCGATAAAGAAGATTATAAAGACATTTGATTTAATCTGTTACAAGATTTTGAAACTAATAAAAATAGTAATCAAAATACATCGCAATTATATAATTTAAAAAAGGATGTATGTATGATGACTATATTTGTTTTGTGATCAAGCATGAATAAAAAACTTAATTTAAAAGTTTTTTTTAGTTTCCAAGTCCTATAGAAAATGTTTCAAGCAATGATGTGGAAATTTCATTATTGGAAATGGTGAAGTATGGAGCATTTCAAGAAGGTCAACATGTAACAGAGCCGTGTTTTGTTCATTCACAGGAAATGATAATGAAAAATATTCCTCATTAAAGAATGATAACATAATTATTTCTAATTCGAAAAGTGAATTGAGTCATACTTATTTACCGAATTTAGCAGTTCATATGCATTCTCCTAAATGGACACAACAAAACTTAAATTACAATTTAATCGATTCATCTCAGGTAAACGATAAATCTTTTTTTATATATATTATGTTAGAAAACTCAGAATTTCCATATAATTCGTGTTTCAAATTCAGATCGACACAACATGCATACCGGTGCAAATTTCTTACTCTTTAAATTGCCCGCCATCTTCTTTAAGTCAATCTTATAATGATACATCAAATTCAAATAATTCGTATCGAACGGTATCCAGTTCTCAAATTGAGGAACGATTCGAACAAAATATAACAAATGAAAATTTATTAGATAACATTAACCAATTAATTGAAAAACTAGTTGATGATTTAAATCTATCCAAAGTCGATGAAACATATACACAAAATTCCTCAAAGAAGAACAATATAATTATTTTTCAAAACAATAATTTTGACAAAACATTCATTCATTCGAATTGTAATGAATGTAATAATTTTACAATTACGAAAACTTTATCTTGGTCAAACATACCATATGTGATATAAAATATTTCCGAAAAAAAAAAAAAACTCAAAAGATTCAAACGATTAATCCAATCGAACCTGATTATACTGTAAACATACCTATATTTTCAAATTGTTTAAAAGATGACCATAATAATATTATTAAATATTCGACGAAAACAAAAAAAGAACACAATTTTTCTCCTTCATACAATGACTCTTCATTAATCACATCTATCATTCCAAATTTGAATTTGCATGATTTTGAAAGAAAAAATTTAATAACGAATTTGAAAAACAATTTTCAAATATCAAAAACAGTTTCATTCAAAAATCAATATTTTCAACAATTATGGTAAATTTTGATTTTAATCATTGAAATTCATCGATTCTTATCCAAGATTTTATTATATTTATATATGATATATATATATATTATATATTTATATATGATTCTAGCCATTCCAAAAAAGATAAACAATTTCGATTATCGAGACTATTAAAATTACCATCTGTAAAGGCGAGTGAAAAATTAAAAGAAAAATTGAATCTAGACGAAGTGGAGAAGGCTATGATTAATTTGCTTAAAAAATCAGCAAAAACACTCGCTAAACAAGATGAAGATGGATATACGTAAAAAATCTACAATTTGATTCACTAATTTGATTTACAATTTTATTTTACAATTTGATTAACTTTTTAATTATTTGTTTCCTTTTTAATAGAAAATTGATGTGTTTGGTCAGCCATCCGAACGAACTTCTTGAAAATCTAGCCTATCTGGTACCGCTTGTAGAACATTTAAGTATAATCGCTGGAACTTTAACAATCATGAATAATCGCGGTGAGGATGCGCTTTACTTAGCTGCATTAAATTGCCCACAATTTTCTTTTGTTGCTGGATATTTAGCTGCAACAATGTTAGAGAAAGGAATCGATATCAGTCAACAATTGTATCACACTCGGATACGATTTTGCATTCTCTTTTTTTTTTTCTTTTTTTTCTCTCTTCTTGTTTTTCTTTTCTGTGATTTTATATCGATTAATTTCTTAAATAAATATCGTTTCTTAAAAATTTTATTATTTTTATAGAGCAATACTCTGATGCATTCAATCACGGCATGGGGGGATTTTTACAAAGAAGTATTAAATGAATTATTGGTTTTAAAAACAATTCAAGGAAATATGCTATTTGATTTATCAAAACGTAACTATGATGGTTCGTTTAAATTCAAATGAAATATAAAAAGACAAACTAATTATAATTTTCTTATATTTATTATTTCTTTATAGGTAAAACAGCTCTTCACATTGCGATTGAATCGCATAAGCCATTTACAAAAGGAATCACATCATTAGAAATAGTGAAATTGCTTTTAAAATATGGAGCAAATTCCAAAATTAAAGAAACGAAATATGGCAATAGTGCTTTGCATATGGCGATTTTTTCAGACTATGATCCTATTCTCATTAAGGTATTTTATTGTTTTATTTGTTGACAAATATTTAATTTAATTTTATAGACTTCCAACTTTCAACATTTTCTAATCTATTTTTTTTATATGCATACAATAGCTATTATTGGATACCTGTGCTTCCGATTTGGTAAACGCAGTTAATTATAATCATGATACAGCATTACATTTAGTTATAACTATGTCATCTAATATTTTTTCGGAAAAACAAAAAAAAGTATGTTGGTTGTTATTTAACGCTGGAAGTGATCCTAATTTGCCGAATCATCAAGGAAAAACACCGCTAGTATTTGCTAGCCTAGATGGAAAAGAAGCTATAAGACGAATTCTTTATAAAATATCATAAAGATAATTGAAAGGATAATATTATAATATTTCAATCATTTTTAATATTATTATTATATTTTTCGTTTATTATATATATACAATCTGCAACAATAAGACTTCTATTTAAGTTTTTTTATTAAAGTTTCTATTTAAGTTCTTTAATAGAAAGTATAAGTTCTTTAATAGAAAGTTCTTAAATAGAAAGTAAGTTACTTTCTATTTAAGTTTAATTGTTCATGTATTTTCTTGAAATATTCAGTTAGTTGATTCCAATAGATCATTCTTTAGTCGTTTATCGATTGCGCATAAAAAATCGAAAAAAAAATAAAATATAAATATAAGTTACGATTGAGAAAATATCATAATATTATGTAAATATTGCTTTTTCTTATCAAAATTTTATTAAAATTTAAATCATATCAATCATATAATCAAATAAATTTATTCTAAATGATAAAAAAAATGTATGAAATATATTAAAATTTTATGAAATATCTGGCAAATTCGTTATTGCAATACATTTTTTCAATATAAAATTGAACAATTATTATAAATGGATAAATATATAAAAAATTTGATTTTTCTTATATATATATATTTATAATGGACTCATCTCTAAAATGAACAGATTCATTTCATAGCTGAGTTAATACATGTTATCCTATTGAAAGTTTAGTATATGGACTGCGTTACTTACGAATTATTTACATGTCACTCAATATGAAAGCGGCATGAAACAAGTGTCCATCTTAATCCTGATGATCAACGATTGATCAGTATGTTTATTCGCTGTTCGACTTCGGTGCTAATATCATGTTACATTTTTTTCTTTAGTTTCTACCATTTATTATTTTTGTTATGCTGTAAAAATTGTGAAAATTAAAAGATAATTCCATTCCAGTGATTAATTTAAGTGAAACAAAAAAAAAAAGAAAAAATCAAGAAAAAGCAAACTAATTAAAGTATTATTTGAAATTTTTTTATTTTTAAACAACAAGCGAATAATTCGATTGTTAAATATTGTAAAACACTTTTTTTTTAAATATTATCTAATATAATCGAAAATCAAATAAAATCTACTATAGAAACGAATTTTCAAATATTTATTTTTAATATGAAATTGAAAAGAAATAAAATAAAAATGATATTAATAATAATAAATTGTATATTATTATTACTAACAACAGCATTTAATATTAGTAAACAATGTAAAATTTATAAAATGACAACAGTAAATTGTCATTGCATCGGAAACGAGGTAAATTTTATACAATTCGTTATTACGATCGAATGGAATTTAAATAGTAAGAAATATTTCGAATTTATGAAAGAATTTACTGTAAAGATTTTCTTTTACAGGAATTTTTCTTGCCGGAAGGATACAATTATGAAAATGTAACAAGTATACGAATTACATCTTGCACTATTGTAAACCTTCATTTTTCCAGTTTAACGGAAGCGAACAAAATAACAGAAATAATTGTGCAAAATATTAGTGAACGTTTGATCTTCGAACTATTTTTAACATCGAAAAAAATAAAAAAACTAAAATTATCAAAAATTCAACGAATACCATTAATTACTCATGATACATTCGTTAGATTAAATAGCATCGAAACGCTTCGTATTGAGGACACACGAATTGATAATTTTGAAGAACAATTTACTGATATAGCAATAACCAACTTTTCTATGATCAATGTTACAATTGAACGTATTCATGAGTTAAATTTTTTAGAACGAGGTGAAAGTCTATATATTAAAAATAGTGAATTTCAAAATGTTACTGGTTCATTGAATTTCGCATATTTTTCAACGGTAAATATTCTTCATTCCAAGTTTCAGTTACAAAAACCTGGTTATATATTGATCGAAGGGAATATCATTTGTATTGAAAACTGTATTTTTTCAAATTCGAGTGCAAATATAGTTGCGACAGATAGCATTAAAATAAGCAGTATTTGTGCAGATGGAAAAAGCTCTATGAGACTCTTATCAAGTAATATTAAAAGCATGAATAATCGATTGCCTACTGAAATCATTTATACAAAGAATAAAGATAAGTTAGAACATTTTTTTTACCGAAATAATACGGTATGTATCGCTGGAAATTGTAAATGTCCAAAAAGTAATGGTCAAACTATGCACTTGATAAACTTATTTCTCGCATTTACTTTTCGATATTTATTACCAATTATTATTCTGGAATCAATGTTCTTTTAATTTCATACAAAACATTTTCTTTTTTTTTTAAGTAAATATAAATCATTGAATTTTATAAATTAATGAATATTATATTAATTAATATTATTTCAAATATGCTTTTTGTAAATAAAAAATAATTTATAATAAATAATTTTATATAGTATCTTTTATTCTATTTTTCTCAAACTTATGTATTAATCTGTTAATTATATAAAACTTATATTTATTTCATATTACCATTTATCCTTAATGCATGTTTTGATTTTGATTTCAATTATTTAAAAAGATATATATAATAAAATATACTTTGTATTTATATATATATATATATATATAATATACTAATCTTTAATATATATTAATATAATATGTATAAATTTACTAATCTTGCATTACATGTTATATTTAAGTTATGTTATATTATATTTAAATACAAGTAAGTACAATACAATATTTAATATTGCATAATATAAGTAAAAAAAAAATTTATCTTTCTATTTATTTAAAATTATTTACTTATTTAATTTTAAAATTATTTTAAAATTATTAAACTACAAACGTTAGGAAAAGAAATATGTGTTGAATTGAATATTTGACAAAAAATCTCACTTAAGTTGCATAAATATTATTTAAAATTATACAAAATCAAGAAATAATGTATGTAATTTATAAAATAAAAATATAAGTTATATAGAATTAACAAATCTCTTTACAAATACATATATATATAAATTGAAAATTGAAATTATTTATGAAAAATGTTGTTAGTTGTTTTTCTATACCTATATTATGAAAAAATATTTACATAAAGTATTTCTCATATTTTATGATCAATTTTATCATTTGCACTAAATTATAATTCATCCAAAATCATGATCACTAAATGTAAATAAACCAAATATGTACTTACTTAATATACAATTAATATACGATTTAATTATTGGATAATAAATTACAAATATTGTTGCTCAACGATATCATTTATTATCATAAAAATTTATTTTTATAAAAATGGAGTTTATAATATATTTGTCTATATTTACTAACTCATTGCAAGTTATATTAGAAGTAAATAAAACTATATAATCAAAATCTAGGGAAATTAAGACCAAAATCAGAATATGAGATTTAATGACAATAAAAATCATAAATCATAATTTTTATTGATAATATTGTATATACCGAGTGACATTTGATAGCTTTAATTTAATTAATTTAATTAATTTAATTTTATTTTTTCCTTTGATTTAGGGATATAACATCTATAGGAAAATGGCATTGCTGTATAGTTATAAAAAAAGTGCGGTTAATTTTAGATTTAAGAAAGATTTAGAGAATCATATTGTGGATATCGCAGTATGAGAATTATATCTAAATTTTGCAGAAAAAGTGTTCTCTCGGTAAATTTTATTAAATATATATAATTACCGAGCATAATAATATATATAGAGTATAATAGTTGCATAAAGAAATTGTAACATATATTTTTTCATTAACTATATATATAATTATTTTTTGTTTTTACTATAAGCTGTCAAAAGATAGTAGATTTTCTCACGATTAAAAAAAAAATTTTTTTTATAAAATTCACATTGCTAATGATTCTACTATATATGGTGTTGCATTTTTATTTCATATTTATTATAATGTCTATATTATTGTTCATTTTTTTTAATTTTAATGTTTTTTTTCATTTTTTATTATTTTTCAATTATAATATTTTTTCTCTTACATTTTTGTATAAAGTTATAAATTATATAATATATAACAAAAATTATAAAATGAAAAGATTATAAATAATATATAAGAATATGTAAAACAATAATAAAATAATTTCTATTATATCTTATGTCTAGATTTTTGTGCTTTATATGTTATTTTTAATTAACATTTAATTTTTATTTTTTTATCTATAAATTTATATTAAATTATTATAAAATATATAAATATATAAAAATATTTTTTTTATTTTTTTCTATTTACTTTCTCAAGTATTTTTAAAATATAATATATATNTAATCTATTAAGCTAATATTTTTATTTTTTTATTTTAGTTTTATTTATTTAATTATTTTTAATATTAGCTATTTTCTTTAAAATATTTATTTTACCAGAGTTTTTATTTTCTGTTACTTATTATATGTATAAATTATATAATATTGTGAAAACACTATACATAAATACAATAATAATACAAAGTCCTTTTCTAATGTTGTCTTGAAATCAAATAAAAATATTTTGAAATTTATATTCATTATTCATATTTCATATTTTCTTGGATTGTTGATAAATCAAAAATCATATTTTTGATTTATTTACTTGATTTACTTTTATATTATATTTAATTTTTCTTTTCTTAATTCTTTCAATCTCCTAAATTTTTATGTGTGCAGGAATTTGTATAATTTTCATTTTTATTTCTTTGTTGATTTCTATGTTTTTTTTTTCTTTTTTTGTATTGTTTTCTATAAATTTTTTATTTTTTTGGTTAGTTCTTTTAAATCATAAATTAATATCCTTATTTAATAAATTAATAAATTAACATCCTTTTTAGGGAAGAGATTTTTTTTCTATTAATTCATAAGTAATGACTTTTATTATGCTTTTAGATAAAATTCTGATAATAAAGTATTATTTGTTTATTATTTTTTTTCTTGTATTGTTATTGTTTAATTTATTATACATAATATACATAATAATTTATTATCCATTATGTATATTCGCAATATTGTTTTCATTGTGAATATTAACATCTTTATATATATTGGTTTTTATTTTTATCTATTGGTTTTTTTATTATTCCTACTGCATACAAGCTAGAATTATATATATATTTATCATATTTATCTTTAAGATCCATTCTGTGATTTTTAATATTTGTTTTATCTTTTTGCTAGTTATTATTTGTAATATTATTGTAATATATTTGTAATATTCATATTTTTATTCGTATTTCATTTATTTTAATTAAGTGTCTTGGTTTTTTATTTTTGATATTTCTATTTTTCTTTATTATGTATGTTTTTTATTTGTTTGTTTTCATCCATCAGACTTCAATATATATTATATATTAGTTTTTTTTTTCTATCTTTTTTATAATCTTTTGTATCTTTATTAAGTTATTCTTTATTTCATTACATGTTTTCTACATTTTTTTGATTGATTTAGTTCTTGTAATTATCTATTATTTCTGCTTCTGTGTACATTATATATGTTAATGTGATTATCTTGTAACTTAGAGTTTCTTTTAATTCCTGCATTTTATTTTCTTCCTACAATTATTTTGTTTTTTCTTAAAATATTTAAATAAAATCATATTTCATATTCTATTATTGATCTGATTGATATTTATTATTGATTTTTAAATGTGTATCTTTTTTTATTATTATTATGTATCTTTATATAACTGTTCTTTTAGCTATTTTTCTTATTATTTCATCCACATGATTATTTATCTTATCTTTCTAAATTTTACTTGATTATTTTTTTATATTGTGTTTCTATTTATTATTTATTATATGTTTCTATTATATTTTTTATTAATATACCTCTTGTACCTCTTTTTGATTAGATTTTAGCCTTTTTCTAGAATTTATTTTACTATTATTATACATCTTTTCTACAGGAATTTCTAGATCATAAATCATAATCTATCTTGCTTTCTATTTTTTTTAAGTTTAAGTTAAATATTAAATTAATTAGATTAATTATTAATTGTTACATATTTCTTTAATTATTAAGATTTTATTGCTTGTATATATTCAATTACAATATCATCAATATATATTATATCATTCTGTATATTCTTGCTTAATATAAATATTTTATGTCTTTAGTAATGCTTGTTTTATACAAATTGTAAAGTATTAAAGATTGATTTCAAATGGATTTTTTATTGATAAATTGTAATATCTGATGCATATATTTTTATATATTCTGTTATTTTTTTTTCATATTGTCATGATTCCTTGATAAATTTACTATGATTTATTATAGGCATTTTTAATATCAATGAATACTGTTAAAATATTTTAGTATTTATTATTAATATTTCTATATTATTTTCTTTTTTTTTCTGAATTTGTTTTGGTTTTTATCTATAATGCTATTTCTTTCTATTTAATTGATTAGTCATTTATGATCTCTGAAGATATCTTCTACTATTACTGCTATTGATTTTTTAGATCTTTTTAATTTTTAATTAATTTTTATATTCCTAGGAAATAGCCTTTTTAGCGATCACAATAAATTATATGTTGTTCAATTCATTTTGTTGAATATATTATTAATTTGTGATTATTTGCAACAATTTTTTTTATTTAAAATTGACCGTTAATTAAACCTTTTTTATAAAAAAAAATAAGATAAATACGTTTTGACACATTTGTGAATGAAAATAAATGGCTACAATTATTCTATATATATAGCAAATAATTTTATTTTGAATTTAGTAAGAGATAAAAAAAATTATAGGAAAAAATTATAAGGGAAAACTTGATATTATAAAGGGAAAAATGATATTATAGTGACAATTTTTCAAATTGTATTTTTTTTTATAAGGATGTACCTAAAAAATATAAATGCATTTTTTTAAATACAATTGCATATATTATTTTATTTTTATTGATTCCTTGAAATATTTTGTATGAAAAATTTTATTGTATACATTTAATATATATATAATATTTAAAAAACAATTTCGCG